ATTGAAAGCACTCATTGACAAGAGGCTGTCATCGATATCACTACGCAGCCACGACTCTGTGATAGCGACTAAGTCGACTGGTTTCGTTGCCGGTAATGCTGTTAATTCGTCGAGCTTGGGAAAGAGGGAGCGAGCGTTCAATAGGCAAAGGCTTGGTAGCATCGCTTTCTCACCAGCTATCGAGTTGTTGCTGTTGTCGCCACTGCTGATGTTGCTGTGCGTGTTGTTTAGGGCAGGGGCCGCCAAAGGTGTTAGCTTGATAACACGTACTGATGGGGCTTTACGTCTTTTAAAAGCTTGAACACGTTCGGTAATCCTCACGGGAATTACTCTCTGTATATTAGCATGTTTGCCAGGAGAAATAACAACACAGTTATTAATATTCGATCCTGCCGAAGTTAACCTTTGGGAGGTTGTTATTCTTGAATTGCGTCTAGAATGAGTAATTGTCTTGATGTGAAGAGTTCTAGAATTGCTAATATAATTGCAGGAGTTCCAAATCCCGAGATTTTGTAGATGGAATTTCAAATCTTGGTCGATCGGTGGATTGCTGATGTTTTTGCCGCAATGAATCAATTGAGAAGATGAATATATCACACGGCGTGTATTTTCCGATACGTCGTTATGATGGTGGTTTAACGTTGGTCCGGGCTGTGGATGAACATCTCCGCTTTGTAAGATGACTTCTGCGCTAGGAAAGCGAATGGTACTTGAAGATTCGGGTAGTTGTAACACCACTGGGCCATGTTTGGTGAATTTAACCAAAGGTGTTTTAACCCTGTGTGTACGCTGCACTTTAAGTGTCCGGTGTTCGCTAGCGAGTGTAGTTACTTTGGCTAGGTTTTTAGTATGCTCTTCGAGTGTAGCAGATGACTTAAAGCAGGGTGCAGCGGCCAGTAAACAAAAAAATATCGAGAGCCTAATGGAGACGCGTTCGTCCGCCATTAGACCCCAGTCCCCTGCCTCGCTAGTTATCAACACTGCTTCGCTGGTTAAGGCCCTTTCTTCTCTTCTTCTAGGCTTTTCATGGCGCAATTACATTAAAATCTCCCGCTTCATTGCTTATGAATAATTACTGATGTCCAGGCATTCTACGCGATGACCTCTACAGCTTACAGAGCATGCGCTCCAGGCTTGCCAAGAGCCCCACTGACCATTCACCGTGTAAACCAAAGCAACTCAAGCTTGGGATCTAAACTTTTTACTTACGTAGTAAACGAAGTAATACAAATAGGAGCGTGAATTGTATTCTTTTAATTGAAGGTGAGTGAACTATATCTGATGAAACTAAAGAAAGGGCTGGTCTGTTCTTTTCTGAGAAAAAATTATCGGTAGATAGTACATACATACATACATACATACATACATACATACATACATACATACATAGGTTAATTGACCACTCCCCATAGGGGCTTTTCAGGGCCAATACCCACCCATCCCACCCAGGGGAAGACATCCACCACACAGTAATCTCGTGCGTGGGAATTAACGTCTCCTACTCCTAAACCTGCAGGAGATGCTGCTAAGTCTGTGTTTGATTTGTGTGAAACGGTTTTTGGAAGATGACTAAGATTTTACCGCAAATTCTCCAATTTAGTAGTTTCCAATTATTTTAGGCCCTTTCATCATGTTAGATAAAGTATTTTCGATCATAATAGTAACAGAGGGAAGAATTTCGCTGAACAGAAAATATCAGCCACTTCCTCAACTGTACTTTTCAATGGCGTTGTATTAATTTCCATTCAGCCTATTGCGCTGTGTACTCGCCTGTGAGGTAAAATAAGTAGATATATGGTATACTCAGTGGTATAGTCGTAAAAATAGTGTTCAAACAGGATGTTTGACATTCAGTCTTTCCGTCCGAGGGATTAAAAGAAAAAATTACCCGAGAAGCATGCAGTAACCCCCCCCCCTCCCTCCCAAATCATCACAGGATGCTAATGCTTGCGCCTTCACCTTCAAGCACATCCTCCTGCCCCCTCCACTAGTAAAATTGCTGCGTAGGCCCAGGTAACAAAATTGGAAGACGGCGATATGGGAGTCCGACTTGATGTTTACGCTTGTCATTATACGACAAGTACGGCACCGTGCACGCTTTCATTGAGAAAACACGGTTCTAAATATCCATCCATCGGGTCCGGAAATTGACAAAAAGGTGTGTAAAGAGAGATGGCAATGGTAACTTGGAATTTTAAAGACTACTCGTGGTTTATACTGTGTGTATGTCGAGTTATGGATGCACGCAGGAGTTTTGAGAGCACCGAGAGAAACTACTTGGGCGCGAAAATGGGTTTTATTATTTTGCGATTTTACCAATTACATAGCTTTCATAATGCACGTTTTTGATGCTCCTGCTCTAAATTGTAAGTGGTTAAAAGGTTTATACCAAGAGAAAAAAGCAGAACTTCTACGCCAGTTTCTTTAGCTTTTAGCTTCACTCACGTAAACTGATCGCTTCTTGGAACAGGTGATATCCATATTCAGACATCCGAGCAAATTTTCTCGCCAAACGAAAGCTTTTGTCTTGGAACACCATGAAGCTTAACAGAAGCTAGATTGGTCCATCTTATGTGATGGGATGTTAACGTTACCACTCAGGCAAAAATTTCGACCATTGTAATTCGTTTCTATTACATGCGCCTACTATATGTGAAAAATTTGTTTCTTGATGAAAACCATTCCAAACAACAACGGACGCTGACTAGCCTGTTCCGAAATAGCTATTGATAAGATATATACCATGCTTTTAGGACTGAGTTCTGCTTAAAACTACATTAATTATGTACTGTTCTTTTGTTTTCTTGTGAAATGAGTGGCTAAGTTTGATTCACTTCTCCAAACGAAGAGTAAATTAAAATAAAAGGAAATTGAGCTGTTCAAAAAGATCTTTGATTTGCCTTTCACTGTTTGCTACATCTTCTGCATGCTTGGTATTTAAAACAATACCAAACTCCAGCATTGATGTTATTCTTGTTTGGTCCCTATTACACTGACCGACATGTTGTTCTGCCTGGTTTTGAATGGACCCCCGCAGTTCATTTCATCACCAGGCAGCAAATGTTTTCTTGAAATTCGCGATTAATTGCCATGGACTTTTTCCGCATTATTTCACAAATTTTCATTTTGCATTAAATTTCTTCCACGAACTTTAGTTCTGAAGGCTTTGATTAGAAGTGTCAAATTCTACGTTTTTTAACATCAAGTCTATAAAACTAGAGTATTTCAAAGTTAGGATCGTCAACGCAGTGGCCTTTTATTTTTACTTAAATTCAAACTCTGGTCGATTCCCTGACAACTGGTCTCATCTTGACTGAGACTAGTCGGGTCAACAAGAAATCTATTGCTATAACTTAAACCAGTGAGAGATAGGTCATTCTTGTGAAGTGAATTCTTTTTTTATTCATACATTTTTACGATGTTTTTCATCAAGGGTTAGGCTAGGTGTGTTTCACAAGTTTGGTTTTTCCGAACTACCTTGACCATGCACATGATTATCGTAAGCTCGACACAGGTGGGCCACATGTGGTAACATAAGTGGTAATTTTAGAATATTTTGGGGCAACTTTATCTTTAAATCAAAATATTGAGATAAGCGGCATAATTTGCTGTCAGAAGAACACATGAATAGAAGATTAGGTTTAGAACGTTCAATTCCCTAAATCACTTCAGTTCTTTTTGAACAGCTTTACTTCCACTTTGAACAGCTTTATTTCCATTTATTTTAATTTACACTGACTTCGTTTGGAGAAGTAAATCAAACGTAGCTACACATTTCACAACAGAACAAAAGAACATATATAATTAATCCTGATTTTTATCATCATTTTAATGGTTTAAGTTTGTAGTTTTAAGCAGAACTCAGTCCTAAAAGCATGCTACATCTTAAAAATAACTATTTCGGAACAAGTTAGTTAGCGTCGACCGTTGTTGTTTGGAATGGTTTTCACAAGGACATGTTATTATACCTGGTTTGTAATTTAATCCCCATGGAAAAAATTTTTTCATGAAAGTTACCACATTACTATGGAACACTTTCATTTTATGTTTGGCATTACCAAGAATTAACATTAATCAATGTCAATTGACCACTTCCTAAATGGCTGCCGGATTAATATTCTTTTGTTTAAATTTAAATTAAGGCTGATAGTTTCTAAAGAAACTGTTTGGGGCTGCGTCGGTGGGGGTAACGAAATAATTTGGATATATCAACAAAGTTCAAATGGTAAATTGGCCACCGTAACGATTACAAAAGCTGACGTTTCGAGCGTTAGCCCTTCGTCCGCTTTTGTAATCGTCACGGTGGCCAATTTACCATTTCAACTTTGTTGATATATCTAAATTAAATTTAAATTAGCCTTTCTGGTCTCGCTTGAGATAATGAATTATTTTGAATTTTGCACTGGAGAACGAGGCCAGAGAGGCTAATTTAAATTTAAACAAAAGAATATTAATCTGGCAGCCATTTATGAAAGTGGTCTATTGGCGGCAATATGCATAAATTTGGTAACGTGACCGGAAAACAGAATTTGACTTTTGACGGTTACAGATAGCTAGTTCGTTCAATTTATTTGTACAAGACATTGTAAGTCTTAAATAAATTGTCCTACATCATAGAGTACCTTCTTTCCATACTGCGCTGAGGGACATAGATAGATCCCTGTAGATTTATTTTCTTTACTATGCAATTATATTAGATATGACTATAAAAGAAATAGTTTTTTAGGAGTCGCGATTGCTATTGACAACTTTGACTGAAATTTTAGTAGGATTTACAATGGATGGAGATATGAAGCAAATTTTGAATGAAAGGATAAATTCTATGATAATTTTTATTCAGTCTGGCGTAGAGATAACCTGTCGTTCAGTAAAATGTGATGACACACTTCCCTTAACAAGGACCACAAATTTAGTAAACGGGAATTTCTGGATAAGCGCCCGTTTATTTCCCGTTGTACCTGTTTAATTGATCACAGGCTTTCAGGGTAAAAAACCGGGCAGACTATGCTTTGCGGGAGGTTTTGCACTCAACCAAAGTAATAACACAGATGACAAGGAAGACAACCCTCAGAAGGTGTGTTCGTCGGAAGATCTCTTCCACGTCCCTTTGTTAGTTATTTCATAGAAGCCTTCTAAACTAAGGTCTTGGCTCAAGGTGTGCCACACCTAGTAAAGAAAATAATTCTACAGGGATCTATAGGGATCTCTAAACCAGACATACCGACATGTCCCTCAGCGCAGTATGGAGAGAAGCTGCTCTGTGATGTCTGACAAATTATTTAGGACTTATAATTTCTTGTAGTAATAAATTGAATGAGCTAGCTATCTGTAATCGTCAAAAGTCAAATTCTGTTTTCTGGCTACATTGCCAAATTTGTGCATATTGCCACCAATTGACGCTAATTAATGTTAATTCGTGTGTAATGCCAAAAATAAAATGGATGAGTTCCATAGTAATGTGGCAACTTTCATGTAAAAACATGTTCCATGGGGATTAAATTAAAGGTGAGGGGATACTTACAAACCAGGTAGAACAACATGTCACTCAACATGGTAGGACAGAAAAGGTGAACTGTGACTGATGAAAAATATGTACCATGCCAAACAGAAAAAAGCGTTTCCAATAGAAACGTACGAATCCAAAAAAAAAAAAAGTCATTTATAACTATCTATAGTTAAAATTTAATCTTAGAGATTTTGGTTACTTCAGTGAATTAACACATTTTACTGGGAGGAAACTTGCCAGGACTTAAGATCTTTAACAAATTCGGTAGAAGTGATTTGTGCAAAGGAAAGCCGGCCAACCGACGTTTGTCGACCAAATACAACGCTCATCGAAACGTAAACAAAACACAATTCGCTTAGCAGCGGGTATAATCAATACTATGTTATAAGCAGGGACAAAAATCATTGGTTAAGAAGAAAAGGTAAAGGTCGACACCGGAACAGGAACACAATCAATTTGGTCAGCTAACCAAACCAGGCATATCTCTGAATATCAACTGCGTTATCCTCTCAAGTAAAGAACAACTCCTTGCTTCTTGGGTGATTTTCGTGTGCAACTAATGAAGCAAAGTTGATTAATCATACTTTATTTCATCTCTTGTAGGTGTAATTCACTGCTGCAATGATGTGGATGTACTTAGTGGTCCTTATATTGACTTCAACTTTCTGCTGCACACAAGCTGGGTCGATAGGAGAAGGCAAGTACTTAAGTATGTTATATCTCAAATGAATGCTTTTGTAATCATGTATGAGGACTACTTAAAAATAAATGAAGCCAAGTTCAGATTACGAAATTATTTTTATTACGGAGTTGTTCGCAATTTTCAGTCCAAGTAAGGAAAATAAGAAGTTTTTATCAAAGGATTTTGTAAGATTATTAACCATGAGCTTGCCTATCCTGATATAAATCGCTAGAGGTAATCAGGGAGAGAACACCGTGAACGCGAATGAAATTGGTCAATTTGCGAAACGCGGAACTGCTTTGTTGCAATGTAACTCAGTTGACCTTTAAAGGATTTTTTGTCCAATCAGCTGTAGCTGGCGAATACATGTTTTCTGGTTTTCACAGAGAGAAGCGCCCTCGTTTGTGAAGGAGGGAAGCAGAAAATCAGGTGCACGCATCAAAAAATTGAAATAATTTCTGCAGTCTATGGAAGAACAGACCGCAGTGTGTGTCAGTGGGGACTAGATTGGATGGTTGCTTGGGCGTGGAATGTCAACTGCCGCGCACCTAATACATTCGATATCGTCAAGAAAGAATGTGACACCCTGTCCGAATGCGACCTGCATGCCAATAACGCAGAATTCGGAGACCCGTGCTTCGCAACGAAGAAGTACCTAACGGTAAATAGTCGTTTATATTAGCGTGCGGTTTTCGAAATCAACAAAAAAATTGCTGCTCCAAACTCCAAACGCCTGCGATTCATCTCTTAGCATAGGACTCGAAACTTTTCTTTGTTCCACACTCGTAACGAATTTTGTTTTTGTTTTTTTTTTCTCTCAAGATATATATATATATATATACATCATTGTATATGCATTTAACAATTATTCGTCGAAGGCGAGGTGAATATCGTCGAATAATCCCCGAGACGAAGTCGAGGGGATTATTCGACAATATTCATCGAAGCTGAGGCGAATAATTGTTTTAGTATAATTTCAGAACTGAACAACAGAGAGATTTCTAAAATCATAACCGCGTGGAGCGTGGTATGTCAACTGATATACTGATAACTAGATTTGTGGCCCGCCGGACCAAAAAGAAAGCATGGGAACCTGAACTAAACATTTTTTATTAATCACTGCACGATGAGAAACTCTGGACAAGTTGAGTATCATGGGCTTTCAAAGAAAAAAGAGACCTAAAGCTAGATGATGAGTTTTTTATTGATAGCATCAATAAAAAAGCATTGTATACACATTGTTCCTACAGGTCAAATACAGATGCACCGGCCGGATTACACCAGGCGACACCAGAAGGGCTCGCGTATGTGAAAATCACAAGATATCACTCGAATGTCCTGAGAAACGCAATATCGACATCGTGTGGGCAAACTTTGGCCGTCTCAAGGGTGGTCACATCTGTGGTGATGGTTTCTTCGGAGTATTTTCCTGGAACCAAGCCTGCCATCATCAAGAAAAGTCCAAGCAAATTGCCAAGAAAACTTGTCAAGACACGGAACAATGTACTCTGGATGCCACCGTTGAAACATTTGGAGACGCCTGCTTTGGTACCACCAAATATTTGGAGGTTAGCAAAGCGCTTGATCCTTAATTTAAAAAAGTGGTGGAGCAAAACATTTTCTTTCACCTATATTATACCAAAAGAAAATAAATAAACCATATTGATTCGAATGACGCACCTTCTTCGAATAATCGCTTAAGTTTTAAGATTTTGGAAAGATGCTTTATAGTTAAGGATTTCCTTTTAGCGTGACCGATTTGAAAAATAAATTCCGAGTTCTGAATTTTATTTCTTTTGTATTCGTCTGGTTCTAGGTCCGATACAGATGCTGCCCCAAGAAGGGTGGATGTGACTGAAACTAAATCAACGCATCAAGAAATAGCGAGACCTCGACCGGCCGATCTAATATGACTCGGAGACGGGGGAAAGGATCAAGGCTACGTTCTGTTTTGTTTGTTTTGTTTTGTTTGTTTCTTTTTTCCTTTGGAGTGGGTATAGTAACTTTGTGAGGCATGATTATGCAGCTTCTCGCAGCAATTTAAATAAAGAAAGTTTATTGACATGTCAAATGTCATGTACTGACGACTGAATCCAGGTGTCTTTTGAACAGTCTTTGTTTGTGATCTAAACTTATCACTGCTAGATTTTTCTCTGGCTTAATTGTCCTTGGTTCAGCTCTTTCTTTTTTCAAAAGAATGAGTTTTCTGAATCCACGAATCTCTCTTAGTTTCTGCCGCCCGTTGTGTATCCCATGGTGGTAATTCCACAGCACATTTTATCATTTTATTATCCCCGTTCAGTCGTTATGGGTCCTTCACTGGCTGCCTTTTGCGACATCGAGTCTTTTGTTTATTTCAGAAGGTCTGGACCACCGTGTGGCGGAGAGTCAGAACTCGTCAAAAATTCCTTCAAATGCCATTCCTCTGACTGGATGAACAGTGACTCGTTTTCTAATTTTTGCTTCCTAAAAGGAAAACGCAACAAAAAGATCGTTGTTCTTTTATTAAAATGCTAATTCTGCGGTTACATTAGATGATTGTCAACTCTTCTTTTTGATAAAGTTGAGGGGAGTCAAATGAAATTAAACGCTTTTCAGAGAGGCTACCATAACTTAAGTGGAAGGAGAGAAAAGAAAACATTGCAGTAACTGAATTCAAAGGATGCATAGAAAGAAAATAGGAGGAAAAATAGGGGGAAATATTCGTGAATAGGATTTATACTTCTACTTCTAACCATTTTCACTGCATTACCACAGCCTGGGTAGGACTAGAACGGAACATTTGCGAACCATGCGAGTAGTCCACCCAATAAATCCCAACCATCCCACCCCAGGGGAGGACATCCATTACACAGAGGTCTCGTGCGTGGGAAATTAACGTCTCTTAACCCTAACCCTGTAGGAGACGGGAGCTCCATTTGTTCGTCCCTATCCGAGAAGACTAGAATATCTAACCATTTCTTGATGTTATAGAAAGGTAGCATATTCTTCTCAATTATTTTAAGACCTTGAGTGTTGGTCCGGCCGGGGCTTGAACCCTCGACCTCCCGCACAACAGTCCAGCGCTCTATCCATTGAGCTAACTGGGAGGCGGTTTAGTCACCTTCATCAGCCTGCAAAGTAAGGGATCTGAAGGAAATGATGACAGAGAATGAAATCGTTTCTTTGAACTTCTTTCACGAAGAATTTGCGAATTTTGAAGAACACCAAAGAGTTAAGATTAAAGTGCAGTAGGGATGGGTTAGGTGCGGTAAGTCATAATTTCATCGAAGTGAGGCTACCGTCTGGCGTCTTTGTGACCTCTGAATATTTTATTGTCACACAAATCAAACATGGCGGACGTAAACAGTAAGGAAAAAACAGATGCCTCTCCCGCCAAGGAACGCAAGTTTTCTTTGACACCGACAGAGGCCATAGCTGAAGTCGACAAGCTCAAAGAAAGGGTTCGCTCGCTATCTTTTAGTAGTACGGTCTCAGGAGAAAGTACTGATAGTGGCAGTTCTGTCACACGACCGCTCGTGAAAAAGCAGGACGATTTAATCGCTTGCCTGAGTGTTATGCGGCGCTTGATGGAACAGGCGGAGGGTGAGAGTAAACGAATGAGAGAAGAAAAACTTGTCATTGCCTCTAAAATCAACAGTTCTCTCACTGCGGTTAATCGGGAGGTGGAATATTTGAAAGCCGAACTTAGAGATCAAGACAAGAGGTTGTCGGAGCTTGCGAGCGATAAATTAACTCCTGAAACGAAAACTGATGGCGCTGGATCGTCCAAGAGTAAATTAGAAGATTATAACGAAGACAATGATAGATTACGATGTGAAAACGAGTTTTTAACCAGAGAACTCAACGAATGGAGAAATGGAAACACAGATTTAGATCAGCTTCGGCAAAGGCTCCATTCTTGTGAACACGAAATTGCTCGCGCTAAAGAAACGATTTCTTGTATGAAAATGGAAAGGAAGCGTTTGAAAACAGAGAAAATGGGTTTACTTAATCAAATGAAGCAGGTTTATGGAATATTGGAGGTAAAAGAAACGGAACTCAGAGAATTTATTCAGAATTATGAACAACGGATGTTAGAGGGTGAAGAACGAATTAAGCGCCTTGAGAGCGAAAAGCGGACTTGGGATAAGGAGCGATGTGATCTATTAAGAGAAACCGATAGTTTAAAATCACAGTTGGAAATGAAAGACGTACAGTTGAAGGAGTTGGAAACTGATTTTTTCGAAGTAAAACGACATCTAACTGCTTTGCAATCCTCGCTAAGCGAGAACAATTCACAGTTCTTTTTTAAAACGAACAACTTAAATTTGGACACCACAGGAGGCAAACTTACATGTAGAACGAACGCTACGAATGTTAAGAAGATAAATTCCGTGCAAAACTTGAAAGATTCACCAAAATCCCCGCTAAAAAACGGAGGTAGGTTTGTTTGCGTGATCTTGATCTCGCTTCAAATTTTTGTGTAATGTACATTACTTTGTTTATTTTCTCATTTTTGTGCGAGAAGGAAAAGGCTTTAACAGTTTTCAAAATAGTCAGCCTTCCTGGCGAAGATTTGCTTTTAATTCAGGAAATCTGTGTTAATTTTACAATCTTCACTCCACAATCTCCTTTAAACTTATTAGATGTTGAAAGCGCTAATTCGATTGCGTTACGATCTTCACCAGACCTTGTGTATGAGAGTCAGACTATTGATTTCACAGTAATCAGGTGCTATGTGATAGCGAGCACACTACTAACAGAAATTTGATAGTGATATTAATAAACTCAGACTTAATCTCGCCAAGATATCCACCTAACGCACATTCTTTTTTTATTAAAAAATGTAGATCTACTCTGTTTATGTTTCACTAAAACCCGAATACCGGATGTTTGCCGAATTAAGACTTCAACTGGAAAATTATGCCACTCCCCAGCCATCCGTCAACTTAAATTCAAGTAGTCAATCTGTCAAAGTGTACATTTACAACTTTTATTTACATTATCTCTTAGTCACAGACACAGAGGCACAGTTAAATTATTCCTTTTCAAATTATTCTCAAATTTAAACCACTTGATTTAGGTGACATGGATATTCTTTTGGAAAGGCTTGCAAGTCGATCGTGTTTGTTATTAAAATCAGATGTCTTCATAATCACTAGACAAAGAAGCTTATGTGACAGATTAATGAGTTTGCCCTAAGGGCGTCTTACAGTTAATCAATAGGGATTTGCAACCTTTTTTTATTGGTACATTATTATGTGCAAGAGAGCTATAGTTATCAGTTTTGAGCTAAATTATCAATTTTCAAGCTATTGATGACAGTAATTTGATATTAATCAGACCATTTTAATGGATTAGTGACCACTTTTAAACAGATATGTGTATTCCTTTAAAACAAAGCAATTCACAAAAGGCAGGGATCTTAGTTCAAGACCACAAGAGACTTTTTTTTATCTCATTTTGTTCTTTTTTTTTAATGTAGTGGAAAAAATGTTGAAAGTTTAGCCACAATAAATTCCCATTATAATTTAGATCATGCAAAATAATGTTAGAGAAGTCTGCGTGTCTTATTTTATGGCCAGATGGCAATTTTTTCTTGACATTATTGTTGTTAACTTATTTTCATCATTGAGCTTTACAATTTTTCTGTTTTACATGGTATCTTGAGGTGTTACAAAACATAAATTTGTTGATATTTGTGTCTAGGTTTTTGTATATACTGAGTAGTTAAAAATGAGTTGTTTACAGCAGCAGGCTTTCTTCTGGCTGCTGTTGATCCTTTTCAAAGGATGAAAGTAAAAGCAAAAAGTAGTTAGATAACATGTCATGTTATCGTAAAAAAAGCCTTCATCTCAATTATAAATGTGTTTATTTGAAAATTTAGGAAGAAATCATATCTACTTTTCATGAAATTTTCATCATTCCCAGGCTATATGTTCACTTACACAGAAACTCTGAGAAATTATCTGAGTTGAATCTAAGTATCATGGAAATGTTGCTAAGATCCTTATCATCTTATTTTCCATTATGCACATCAATCATTTGATGAGAAGTTTCCTTCTGACTGAATATTTCTCACTTCAAAATTTGTATCAGTGGAGTTTTTTTTTATAATAGCTTAAGTCATGTACATAGGAAGCTGAACTCCAGGTGGCAGTAGAACTAATTGTGTTGTCCAATGCCATGTTATCTATCACCTTTACTGATAGTTTTCAAATTCTAATGTTTCTACATACAGTATCAGTTCATCATTGCATTATAATTTGGATATATCAACAAAGTTGAAATGGTAAATTGGCCACCATAACGATTCCAAAAGCTGACGTTTTGAGCGTTAGCCCTTCGTCGGAGCGAATGACGAAGGGCTAACGCTGGAAACGTCAGCTTTTGTAATTATTACGGTGGCCAATTTACCATCATTGCATTGTCTCCTTCTTGGTGTAAAATTATGGTTATTTCCTAGATGGTGGATTTTCATGATTTTACAGTCCACACAATGAATGTAAACTGGGAATAGCCAATTTGGTACTTTCCCTGTTTTACTTGATATTTTTTATTTTAATTTTTTTTAGATCACTGTCCTGTGCCAGCACCACAATCACTGGTGGGGTCAAATTCATCAGATTCCCTGTCTGATTTAAGCCAAGCCCCTACACCACATGACTCAGAAGTTTTTGATTTTGGTGTTCCAACCAACTATGAAGAACAGGACCCAAGGAAGAAGAAAATCAAGAGACGTTCATCCTCATTGTCTAGGTTTTTTTCACGAGGAAAGCAACGGAAGCCTGTCTTCAAGCCATTAGTTAAAGGTAAGTGGCCAATATTATATGTTGTGTTTAATTGTTTTTACCTGTCATTGTTCAAGTGAGTCTAAAGGTGTACTGCTTTGAAAGAACTTTTACACTGTGATTTAAATCTGAAGCAAAGTATTAGATTTTTAATTGATAGCTCTGTGTTTTTCCTTCTTTCTTTTTTTAATTTCATACCATTAAATCCATTTTATTTTGTCATATGGGTTAAATACAGAGTTGTTTAGATTTTAACCATATATCAGTAATATATAATATATAATGAGACATAGTTGTTCGTAACTTTCACATGCAGGGCCTCTCTGAAAACCACCATGAATGTTTCAAGAGTGTACTGTGTGTAAACATTATCATAAAAAAATGATCATAATAGTAACTGATGAATTTCTCAGCTGTTTTCACTCTCTCCTTTGTTCAGAATTCTGTTTTGCATCACAAATGAAAACTATGAATAGGTTTATTTTGGTCAAATTCTATCAGAATAACTGATTTTTTCCAGGCATGATGAGGGCTACTCAGATAAACTCAAGTCAGAGTACTTCATGTCACTGAAGTGTTTCTGTTTCTCATCCTAAGGAAAATGCATATTTTTTCCAGGAAGATTTTAGACTCCTTTTAATTTTGTTTGTAAAAAGGGTTTTTTAACAAAAAAGACCTTTTTCAATAAATGGGAGAATCCAACTCTAAAGGAAGAGCTTAAATATTTGTAGATTTTTCTCTTTCTTTAAAATTTGTTTTGACTATTATTACTGTTAGTGGTGTTTGTTTTGCTGTTTCTGAGTTACTTTATTATACTTTGGTCTATACATGTTGCTCTTCTGTGCTTCCTTAATTTGTATTTAATTCCAGTTGTTTTACCAGTTTGTGTAGAATTATCAAGTATGATGCAATTTCATGAACTATTTGTAAAGTGAGAATTTAAATTGTACATTACCCTTTAAATTTTGCAACTGAATATTAGCATTTGGGTGCTACTCTGTTAACAAATTTGAGTCCAAATAAAGTTAATGTATGTATGTTATAATGTATGTATGAAGATGACTTCAGAATGTTGAAACATGATTGATATGCAAATTTAAGAAAAATTGATGTTTTGTTTTGTTTTGTTTTTTGTAAATGGATTTTAAAGACCCTCTGCTTAGAAAGAAACTAATAGATACATATAACAACATGAGAACAGGAATTCCAGTCACCTTGCCACTAGGAAGGCCAAGGTAATCTGGCCAGTACCAAATTGATATCAGTTGAATTGCCACCAAGGTCACCTGTTAATTTGGTATGAATTGGAAACTTTAGCTGACTCTAATAAAAATTAAGTCAAGTGAGCCTCATCATAAAAGTGCAAATTGAAAAGTCTGTAAACATTTAGAATATTCAGCAAAGGAAAAGGTAACCATGCAAAGAGACCATAACTTTTTTTACTTGAACAAACCAATGACAAGATCAACAAGAAATATTATCGATCACTTACATTTTTCTTATTGACAAAACAAGTTTTTTGAAAGATCACAGCAACAAGAAACAAGTCAGAGCTCAAGCAAATGTATTATTATTATTATTTTAATAGTTATACTTAATACAAGGTAAGTTGGGGTGCATTTTATTCCCTGGTGGTATGGTAACATGCCCTGGTAGCAAGAGGAATGGAAAACCCATCCTTGGTACTAATTGCTAGTAGTAGGTTGCAGTATATATACCAAAGAAAGACAATGATATTACTCTGATGTAAAATCGGATGACTAATTTTAAACGAATGTTTGAGTACCTACTATTATTCTTTTAAGGTTTTATGGAATTATACCCTTTATATTGATGTGCACAACTCAACAAATAGATTCCATGTTGCAGTGCATCAGTTCATGAATAGATCACAAAATCAGCTACTGTAACAGTACATGTAAAAACAAAACAAAAAAAGCACTGACGCTCATAGCACATTTTGACATAATTATTTTGTATATCCCAGTAACTCATTTTCCCAAATCTGACCACACTTGTAACTCTTCTTCTTTAATTTTTGCAGAGTTTCCAGACATCGATAATGTGGACAAAACTCCAATCAGCATGAGTTATGCTGAGAAAAAGCGTGTGTGGGAACTACATAAAGACATCCCAATGGTTTGTTGGAAAGCCAATATGGTTTTAGCTTGGCTAGAAGTGGAGTGTCAAATGCCCATGTATTCACCCATGTGTTATGACAACATCAAAAGTGGAAAAGTATTGTTAGAGCTTAGTGATACCGAGCTTGAAGCTGGACTTGGTATGGGTAACATTATGCACCGAAGGAAACTGAGATTGGCCATTGAGGATTACAGGGACCCCTCCTATGTGTAAGTGCTTCTCATGCATCTTTTAATTCAAATGCAGATTTCTTTGCTCTCTTATAATCAAGGTGACTGATATGGAGAGCCAAATGGTGCAGCTATTTCAGTGACTGCTTTTTATACTTTTAATGATATAGTTTGCCCACAATGCATTTTGTTCTTTTTCCTGTCATAAAGGTTAATGCGTAATATCACCATGCAAGTTAAATAGAAAGTTCTTAATAATTCAAATTCAGTAATTTTGATTCACCAACTTATTTTTTATCTGAATATTATTGTAAAGTTCTAATGGCTTTTTGCTTGTTGTGTTTAGAAAATTTCCAGAGATATCCTCTGTAGATCACCTTTGGGTGTCCCGAACATGGATTAGAGACCTGGGTCTCAGCCAGTATTGCTCAGCATTTGAAGCTCAGATGATTGATGGGAGGCTTTTGAATGTGCTCACAAGAAAAGATATGGAGAAATATCTCAATGTCAGCAAAAAATTCCATCAGGTAAGATCAGAAGGATTGTGAGCCATCTTATTTCTACCCTCATGGAACCTCTAATTCTCATTATTACACTCGCCTCTCAAAAAGGGCCACCTCACAACTCCTAGAGGACAATTTATGGATTGAATCTTATTTAAACTCCATCCCTGTTTACTGTGAACAACAGCCAACTCTACATACATTAGTGCCAAGAGCCGCCAAAGTGTATCCCAACAGTAAAATGACTTCTTATCAGGGGCTAGTTGATCACCAACAGAGAAGGGGTGTAGCAAAATAATTGATACATTTCCAAACACACAAACCTATACACTTTGTTTTGGTAACAAAAAACTAACAAACTCCATGTTTCCTACTTGTTTTATTTTGTTAACACTTTTCCTTGGAATACTTTTAGGTTTCCTTCAAATCCATAGATTTAATCTGAGAACAGTCAAACCTCAATTATCCAGACTCGTTGAGACTAGACAAAATAGTCTGGATAATCGAGGGTCCGGATAATCGAGAATATGAATATTAATGAGGAACAAAAACTGATTAAATTAAGAAAGCTACATTTAATCCTGCAACAAAACATTTACAAATCACCAGTTTTGAAAAAGATATGGTCTACATCTTTACTGTCCTATGTGAATACCTCTACATGTGTGTATGCATGAACAATTAAAATCAATGAAAAATGTTTCTATTGGCCTAAAATGTTGAGGTAAGTCAGTTTGTCTTAAAGAAGAACATCACCTTTACTTCACTTTTCAGTGCTGTAGTTTTAAAAAGAATATTGCTACGGATCTTGATCATGACCAATAAATATTCATGAAAAAATTGGGACAAGAGAAAAAGTCCGGATAATCGAGAAATCCGGATAATCATGCAAGGTCCAGACAGTCAAGGTTTGACTGTATAATACATTTACACGTATCTGCTACAGTGAGAATGTGTATCATAAAACCTCAACAAACTCCTTCCAAGAACCACCCCTTGTACAAGTGCCACTTAGTCTCGTACTTTCCTTTGTTCTTGAGGTTCAATTGCTTATTATTTGTGCTGAAGACTGATGTTTTCAACCTACCTATTGTAAACACCTGGGAGATTACTTAAATTTGAAAAGTCTCCCATTAGTTCAAGATCCAAAGTGGCTCCCAACCCTCTTAGATTCTTGTTTGTGACACCTAGAAAACTTAACATACTGATGGAGTTTTTTTTTTATGTTTCAAAGTCAAGTATCCTTCACGGTATTAAGTTGCTTCGCATGATAGAGTTCAACAAAGAGGTTTGTCAATTGTGCAATACTGTATAGCTTAAGACACATAATTGTATTGACCTGGAACCAGCTATTTCAGTAATCAATCTTTCTTATCTCACTGTTGTTTTTCCTTTCTTTGATGAGAGTTGCATTTTAACAATTCATCTACATATACAACAAAGCTAGATGTATTGCATACCCCAATTACATTGATTTTATTATTTCACAAATATGCCATTTTACCATATTTGGCCAATGAAACATACAAAGCTATGTAGAAGTGCACTTGGGCAGGATGGCTTTTTCCGGACCAGCTCATGTCAATTTGTCCAGCCCTTCACATATGTCAGCTTTCACTATGGTTTTGTATAGGATTGCGTGATATGGTCATATGATGAAAAAACAGTATTCATTGGTTTAATATACAATACAAGGGGACATTTTGCTCATTGCTTGTATTTAATCCCCTCTTCTACAGGGTACAGAAAAACACTATGCAATGTGCAAAATATGCACAAGTATTATAAGTTGAACCATCGATTAAGGTGTATGTATTTTGCAACTTTATGTGTATTTTGTCTTTGTGCAGTTTCTAATGGATCGTAGAAGAAAGAGTGAAGAAAGTGATTTAGATCCTCTAGTTTGGACCAGTGAGAGAGTTGCCAAGTGGTGCCGTTCTGTAGACTTGGGGGTAGGTGAATTATCTCAAAAATATGCGCTGAGTTATAACATGAATCGACTGTTTGGAAGTTAGGGTATTAATGGCACAAGAATGTGCCTTTAGCTTATGAAGGAGATTAAAGACTTTGTAATTGAATTTTTGTTCAAGTAGATGCTCCAGGATTCCAGTGAGATGACAAAGAATTAAAAATTTTGGAAAACATGTTTGATACTCAGTCAGGGACAATCAAAGGGTAGCAGTCATTTACTTTCTCAATGTAGGGGTAAAATTATAAATTATGTTTGGATTTTTCATGAAAGGAATATGCAGACAGGTTGAGGGACAGTGGTATCCATGGAGCATTGCTGGTCCTTGATCTCTCATTTGGAGCTGATGAACTGGCTCAAGCTCTTGGCATTCATTCTTCCAAGAACATTATCAGGAGGCATCTTACCTCTGAACTGTTGTCTGTGTTAGGCCCTGCAAGGTAGGGTAGCTTTTAACATCAACAACAACTTTTCATACACTCAACATAATTAACTTAAATTAAAATTGTTCTTTTATTTGTAATAATTAACTACAGTTATTTACTTGATATAAAAATTTCAGTGCTAAATTGTGAAATAGGTAGCTAAATCAACCAAACAATAAAGGCTGATAGTTTCTAAAGAAACTGTTGGAGGCTGCATCGGTGGGGCCGGGTAACAAAATAATTCAAATATATCAACAAAGTTGAAATGGTAATTTGGCCACCATTACAATTATAAAAGCTGATGTTTCGAGCGTTAGCTCTTCATTGGAGCAAATAGAGGAATTGTAGGTTGTGTGTGCTTTTAAAGGCAGAAAATGGAGCTACGTTATTGGTGGGAACGTGGCAAGGAGAAAAACATGAATAAATTAGTGGAATGAAAAGAGTTGGTTGATACCTGTGGGATTTAGACTGCTGGTTTGAAAGATGAGCTTTTGTTCAAGAGTTTTACGGCTTTCTGTGCTACCTAGGTGTAAGGAAAGACCGCAGATTGCCATATGTTGCTTAGAATGACTAGGTAAATTAAAATGTCTAGCGACTGGTTTCGATGTGTCCTTGTCATTCCTCTCCATGTCGCAAAGGTGTTCTCGGAATCAGTCGCGTAGTCTTCTGTCTGTTTCGCTGATGTAAATCTTTTTACAATAAGTGCAAGTTATGCAATAGATTACATTGGCGAAGGTGCACGTGAAGTGATCGGTGATCTTAGTGGATCGTTTGGGTCCCAATATTTTCTCAGTGTTGTGAATGAAAGGACACGTTTTGCATCATACCCGAGCGCATTTAAAAGTTCCTGGTTGGCCATTAGTCTGAAAGAACTTCTGACCAAAAAATTGCCTATGTTTTTGTCGCGTTTGAATGAAATGAGTGGAGGCTGCAAAAAGATAGTGCTTGTCTCTGGATCGTTTTGAAGTAATTTAAAGTTGTTAGGAATGATGGATTTAACTGAGTGGTTGTGAGGGTGAAACGTGAGAGTGAATGGTATGCAGTCGGAATCTTCCTTTTGTGATGTTTGTAGTGCTGAATGTCAATCATTAAGTTGGGCGCGGTGGTAACCCGCTTGAATGAAAGAATTAGGGTAGCCACGTTTATCGAAAAACTGGCACATTGACTCTGATTTGTGGTGGAAATCAGAGTCATCACTACATAAACAATGAAGTCTTAGAAACTGAGAAAAAGGAACAGAATTCTTAATGTGAGATGGATGCGAAGACGAATACAACAAGTAATTATGCGAGTCTGTAGGTTTGTAATACACACTAGTGCATAAACTGCTGCCTTCAATTGAAACTTTGATGTCTAAAAAAGATAAAGAATTGTCAGAAATTTCCCAGGTATATTGCAGAGCTGGGTGAAAAGAATTGACTGTGGTTATGAATTGAGTGAGCTCCTCTCTGGTAGAGGAGGTGGCGCCGATACAGTCGTCGATGTAGCGACCGTAGGGTTCAGGTTTAGAGCCATTGTATTGGCTGAAAAATTGGTGTTCGACAAAACCTACAAAAAGAGTGGCATAGCTAGGTCCCATTTTGGTACCCATGGCTACACCATTGGTTTGTTTGAAAAAGTTGTCCCGAAATGAACAACGATTGAGTGTGAGCAATAGTTCGGCTAAGCGTACTTGTGTTTCAGATTTAGGTTCCTTAACAGTATGTTGATCAAAAAAATGTTTAAGGGCCAGAAGACCTTCGCCATTAGGAATGACAGTGTAAAGAGACGTAATATCCATGGTGAAAAGAAGTTTGTTTTGGCCAAGGAAATTAAAGTCGCAAAAATTTGAAGAGTGTGTTGGCTGTCTTTAATATATGATGGTAAAGTTTTCATGATGGGAGCCATAATTTTGTGTAGATAGCTGGAGATAAGTTCATTAGGTCAACTGCAAGCCGAGACAATGGGCCGACCCGGGTTGTTAGGTTTGTGAATTTTAGGTAAAAAGTAAATACAAGAAGTTCTAGGAGTGATTATGATGAGATTTTTTGCTGTGGCTGGCAATTCTTGTTTAGTTATAAGTTGGTTGATCGTATTCTTGACGGTGTTTTGATTGCTGGCAGTGAGGTCTTTGTCGACCTTTTGATAAAAAGAGGTGTGAGAAAAGTTGCCGCAAAGCTTCTTTTTGGTAGAGGTCGGTGTGCCAAACAACGACTGAGCCGCCCTTATCGGCCGTTTTGATAACTGTCTTTGCGTTTTCTAAGGCTTTTTAGAGCCGACCACTCTTCAGAAGAGAGATTGGAAAATTTGGTAATACGATTGAAATTAAGTTTGTTGATATCGTGGCAACATTTTTTGATAAAAAAGTCTAATGATGCGAACTGGCCCTCCGGGGGAGTCCATTTAGACTTTCGAGTCTGAAGTGTTTCAAAAGTGTCTTTGTTCGAGGTGTTAGAATCATCCTCTTTGTCATCCTCTTTCCTTACACCTAGGTATTACGGAAAGCCGTAAAACTCTTGAACAAAAGCTCATCTTTCAAACCGGCAGTCTGAATCCCACAGGTATCAACGAATGCTTTTCATTCCACTAATTTATTCATGTTTTTCTCCTTGCCACGTTCCCACCAATAACATAGCTCCATTATCTGCCTTTAAAAGCACACACAACCCACAATTCCTCTATTCGCTCCGACGAAGGGCTAACGCTTGAAATGTCAGCTTTTATAATCGTAATGGTGGCCAATTTACCATTTCAACTTTGTTGATATATTCTAATTAAATCAACCAAAGGTTTTCTTGTTAGCTCCCTTTACATTTTAAGTTCTTGGTGGCAGCAAGGTTGGGAAGTAAAGGGGAAAAGATATATATATATATGTATTGATATAAACAATGGGGGAAAAGTTACCTGTGGGTAAACTGTACTAATTGTAAGGCAAGGTTGCTTAATTTCTTCTTGAACTGACAGTAGATGAGGTTTGAATTGCTTTGAAAATGCAATTACAGTTGAGTCTTTTAATTAGGATGGAAGGTCACTCCAAATATCAATTGGCATGAGAGAAATTGATTCTTTACCCACATTAGCTCACACTTGAGGTTTATAGACTGAGATTCTTTATTTGCAAAAATTCAAAGTGAAGGGGAAATCTAACTTTATGCATATACAGTGTTATGATTCAAAATGCATTGTGTTTGGATTTCATTTGATCAATCAAGGGAACTTACATAGAATTTGTTCAAAATCCAATTAGAGCTGCAGTGGCTCCCGGTGAAACTGAAATGAAAAGCAAAGAAAAACAGAAGAGACATCGATCACTGAGTTTCAACTCTGGCAGCAGAACTAGCATGAGTTCAGATATCAAACGACACAGTTTTAGGGTAAGTAAGTGCATTACATGCTAAATATTGAAATGACACTATTCATATGCCTATGTAGTAGTTTAAAGAGAACTAAAGAGAATGTATGTCTCTTTTCAGGACATTGTACTATTAGACAGACAAAACTTAAGGTTGTGCTGTCTTCACATTTACCTTTGAATGAATATAAAAAAATTATCACATTCTTTTCTGGTTGTATTGAAACAACATCATTATGAGACCTGTGTGTTTATGTGGAATATTTATTGTACATGGTAGGAATGTTTACATCATACAGTTTATTTGAAAAATGAATTCAGGTCGGAACAATTTTGATCCCTAAGGATCAAAGAAAGAAAAAAAGAAAGAAAGAAAGCTCTTTCTCAGAGGGAAGATTTTATTATCCTTGTTTTACATAATAGTTTCATATTATTTCCGTTAAAGTTAAGTGTAATACTTACTAGCCTATTAAATTCAAATCACTGAAATTGTAATAACCAAATTTTAAAATAATCTTTAATCTTAAAAATAAAACAATTGTAATTTGTTCACTTAAATGTTTACATTTTCTCTGCAGTTTGAATTACCTCAGAAAAAGGAAAATAATTATTGTGGGTATTTATAATACCTGGAAATCTTCAAATAACAAATCACTCCATTTAACTCTGATGAATATTGAAATTGTTCTGTTTTAATTAATTGCCTCTTCCCTTCCTTGAAAATTCTTCTACTTTAAAAAAATTGTATTCATTAAATAGCGACAACTTAAACTGATCACTAACTGGGTCCTTTTTTAACCACTTTTTGCAATTTTTTTTGGTAAGCACAGGTGCTTCCTTCAAATATGCTACTGAACAGCCTACTGTAACAGTTCTGTTATTAACATCTTTCTGTAGAAGGTCGCACTCTGTGCTAAATCGACTATGGAGACTCATCTCTGAAGCTGGCTGCAGACTGACTCTTCTTCAGTGAAATGTAAATACTGTTGACACTCTCCATAAGCTAGTGAATGCTCTCATCTTTTACCCAAGCCCTTAAAATTTTTCTGAGACAGTCATTCTGCTTACTTTTACTTCCTCAAACATCTTAAACTTTAGACATGGCCTGTCATGGTAGTGGTGTGGACAGGACCAATTCAACAACACTATGATACAATAAATTATTTATTGATTTAATATAAAGCGATCTCTGTCATTGTGGACAATTATCCTTCTTTACCAAATTAATTGACAAAATGCGGTGATTTTAAGCAAAACTTGTGGGCTTAAATTTCTTTGTCAAGGAAAATAAAACTGTGAGCCAAACATGCATCTATCACATTTTAATACCTGGATGATAAAAATTCTTAACATGCTCTTAATGCTTAATTCTTAGATGCTCAATATATCATTAAAACCTGTACTGGCAATGATTGAAACTGAATTTAAAATTTTTGTGAAAAATCATGACTTAACCAAGTTGTCAGTTCCTCTGTAATTATGTCAGTAAAAAATGATAGATCATTTCACACAAATTTGAAAGAAAGGTCTAGTTGTTAATTGTGTGCCAAAAAAGAATCTGTCTTTGGTATGCTGGAAAATGGTTACAAAAGCACTTACCAATAATCCTGGATTGAAAGTAAATATATCCTTATAGTTGTTGAGTTAGGTTTCCCCCAAAATAAAAGATTTGTAAAAACATTGTAATGTGGTCTTTAAACATTGAAATGATCGAGAGCATTCACTTGTCTGTGGGAGGAGAATCCACTGACGTGCTTGGTGCATTAGTCTTAAGTTGTCTACTTTCTTTTTGCATGTGCATGCTTTGTATGTGACTAGTTTTATTGGTACATAACTACACTATTTCCATACTCTTACGTTTTCTTACCCCTAGCCTTGTCACCAAACTCGTAAATGCACGAACAACCACCAAGTTATAAACACAAACCAACAACCTATCTACTTACTTATCTACCAGCCTCGATTCTCGATTTCCTTTTTGTTTGGAGAATCGAGATGGGACGTTCAAATATAAGACAGTTTTGAAAAAAATATTTGCAAATGCAACCACATGCTTTCCTGTTTTCGACATTCACATCTACTAAACAACCAAGCTGTTTACATGCCAGTCCCTTAACTAACTAACTAACTAACTAACTAACTAACTAACTAACTAACCTATCCATAAAATCTAACCCAGTGAACCCACTTGTCTAGCCACCGACCTACTTGTTTCTGTACCTGGCTGTATACTACACTACTTCTCTGCCTTCTTGCCTGACTGCTTTGCTAACAGGCCTTTGCTTTTCCGTGTACCTTGTACAAACCTGTTGTGTTGTAACCCACTCTTACCAAACCCGACCACCATCGCTCTGCCTGCGTTTTGCTTATCCAGGTCTTCCTAAAAATATTCTACTTTCATGAAAAATTCGATATGATCTCTGGTGAAATGTCAATCAGTGCCTGTTTGTAAAGTTTCGTATGATTGAAAAGTGTTTCATAAACCAGACAGCTTTAAACGGGGCCGAGAGACAATCAAAGTTGATAAAATTCTCAAATACTAGTTAGTTTGAAATCCTAACCAACGCTCAGTCTTCATTCATGTGTATGGTTTGTAATATTAACCTCGTTTTTCTGAACCTAGTACCTTTTCCTATCCATTTTGACGTTACTGGGATTGTAGAATAATTTCAAACCATTATGTCAGAGTATCATTACTCATCTTCACCTTGAAAAGTAATCATGATGGTCGAACCTGTATTGAGCGTGAACCAAATTCTGCTAAAATGGCGCCTTGACATCACCTGACACAAAGTAAGGAAATCACGGTAGAAGCTAAAAGCATGTTGGTGTTTTTGAAGCGCCTTGTGACAAAATAGGTCACATGTAAGGATGGCCCGGCTTTGTTAAAATGGCTCAAAGAGGGTTCCTGAATTAAATTGAATCTTGTAGACATTTTAACCAATAACAGCAATTGCTGTTAATCTTTGTAACCAATAGAATAAATTTTTTTTGATTTGGATCTCTTATACCCATTAGTATAGGTAATCGCATGAGTCCGAGTAAAATTAAGGATTAATATCGCGCGTGTTTTTGGAAGTTGCTGAAATTGCCCGAGTCCCTGCGCGACTCGGGTAATTTCTGCAACTTCCGAAAACACAAGTGATATTAATCCTTAATTTTACGAGGAACCATGTGATTACTTGTTTATAATATAAGGGGAAAAATGTTTTCTTACTGATCTCGCGCAAAACGGGACGCCATTGTTACAAAACAAACAGAAATTTCTTTACCTAGGCAGCCGTTGCTAAGCGATTTTCAGCCAATCATTTTCAAGTAATTTTGCCCGGGGCAATAACAAAAATTGAGAAAAAAGCCCTCTGTCTTGACCAATCACAATTCAGTAATTTTGCCCCTTATATGATAAAGTCTTTTATCATTCTCCTGTAAATAGTTAAATTTTAGAAGTACCACATGTTGATTAGTGTGGCCATTTCAGAGTCCATCTGAGCTAAACACATTGACACTTGAGTAAAGGTTTTACTTACTTACTTACTTACTTACTTACTTACTTACTTACTTACTTACTTACTGGCTCTGCTTGTGAAATTGTAATAACCATCATTCTGTCTCTATTTCTAGGATTCATTCATGCTTCATAAAAAGAACAGACCGACAAGAACCAGTAGTGTTGGAGATGATTTGTCAAAGTCAGATTACCCTGCTGTACAAATGCGAAGCTCGTTTAGAAGATCTCGCCTGCGACCTAAGTCATCTTTACAGTAAAGAGAGAAGTAACAGCAATGGTCATTCAGAAAAAAAAATTGTCACACTTCTTTCAAGTTAGGAAATTACAAACTGTGAGTTAACTTCAAAGGGTTTTGGCTCACAGTGGGTTTATTTTGTACGTTATCAACATTTTGTAAGTACTCAGCCTTTGTCGTAACACCAATAGTCATTCAAAAAAAAAAAAGAAACCGGGTAACATTTCTTACAAGCTTGGAAATTACAAAACATACGTTTGCTACAAAGGGTTTTGGCCTACAATGGGTTTATTTCGTACGTCATCAACTTTTTTATAAGTACTCAGCCTTTGTCCTAGGAGAAGGATGTCAGTTTCACTTTCACTTTATAAAAAAAATCACTGTCACGGTAGTTTTCATCCTATTTTTATCGCGGTGGCATAATGTCAAATTGATGACACATAATGATTTTTTGTCCATGATAACTTAAATAATCCAATCAGCTTTTTGCTGAATCATTGCCACCCTTCCCTTCACTAAGCGGAATTTGTTGCAATTGAAATTCTGTCTCATCTCGGAGGCGACATTCATTAATCACATGGATTGCTCCCCTGCCTTCGTTTTGATTCCTGCGTACAATCCATGGTGCATACGGCCTTAAGAACCTCAGTTGAGCTGTGCTCATTCGGGTTTTAAATGAATTTATTTCGTGGACAAGTAGTTTGTTTTCAAGAACGAAACACCACTTAACTATTTAAAGCCTTTCATGATGATGCAGACTGTAATTAGAAGTTGTTTTGAAGTTTACGTAGTTGATATTCCGGTTTTGGTGTGAGGCGGGTCAGGGAGGGAAATGTTTCTGATGGAGTGAGTGAAGGCAGTGTGCCAAGATTTTGTGATGAGTAAGATGACGTCAGTGTTACGTATCAACTGAAGTGTTTGTTACACGCACGGATGGTTTTTTACCCATATGACTTCCAGTTCTAAAGAACTGTTGTTTTGTTTTGCCGAATGATTTGTTGCTGTCTAGACTAAATGACGCTAAAAACGGACACAAACAGCGTAGATCATTGTACAGTTTTAGAAATTCAGTCTGGTGTTAAAAATCGCAGAAAAGTGCTTGCGAAATATGACGGATGCCAGACGGAATTGTTTTATGTCTTACGACTGACCGCAGTCGGTTGCTAAAAATATTTGATCATACAATAACACAAAATTTCTTGGTAGAAAAACTCAGCAAAACAGGACCATACTTGAAAGCTAACTAATTACAGGGATGGAAATTAGGTTCACTAATCTTGAGAGGTCTTCTATCACAAAACGTTTTACTCTTTTGAATTATAGATTGTAACATATGCACATATCAAAAAGTTTTAATTTTAACTGAATTATTTTTAGGAGTGATATTTAATTTTCTTATTTACAACATCCTAATTTATTGAGTAGTTATATGAATGTCAGTAGAAATTTAGACTACCGAGCTCAGTCTCAGAAAGAATTTATTTCACCACTATTATTACTATGACCTAGATGTTTCTTGACAGAAAGAAAAAAATTGTCGTAATATATTTAGCGTTTCCACTGTGTTGCTGGTCGATTTTTATAGCAAGAAAGCTGAATATTGTTTTATTTTTACACCGCTATACTATAAGTTTCTTGGGGATTAACTACTATTCTTTCCATTCTTGAGACATTCCTCAAATGTGAGGGGTAGTTTGGGGGAGGGGGTGGAGGTCGTGGAGTGCCCTTCTTTGTTGTTGTTTTGTCTAAAAATACAAACCTTGCAAGCCTCAAGTGGCGAAAAAGGACAACTTTCTAAGAATTCCCTGTACATACATCGCTCAGTGCTCATTGGACAAAACGTCACTTTTACTTAAACACAGTGTTGATGTGGATACGGTGAGACCTCCCCTCCCCCCCTTTCTTATCTGCGCCCTTGCAACAGTACTCTTCCATGCGTTCCAGTTTGAGATGTTTTATTATTTTTCTCCTTTAAACAAAGAAATACATTGTATATTTTTGAGGGAAAATTGAGCATTTACAGCATCAACCCATATTTCTCGTAAAGTAAGGTTTTAAAAGTCATTAATTCTGGTTAATAAACGTAAGAAAATTGTTTTAATATATGTATTGAGGGTCACCTGCACCTCGCTTAAACCTGTTAGAATTATTGAAGATCAACTGATTCTAAGGAGATTATTTATGTTGATCAGTAAACCGAGTGATAGTTGCTACAGACCAAAGCTTTTAAAATTTCATGTCAAATAAACACTAAGTAGCACTGATATCCTTTGAGTGTCTTTGTTTTATTACGGGGGAAGACAACTCTAACAAACGCTGTTTCGGGACAAAGCCAAAATTATTCCGGGAATCTGGAGATTTCTCCGGGAATCGGGATACTTGGAAATTTTACCAGGAAACACGCGATAATTCCGGGACATTGCAGAAAAAAATCGGGACATGGAAGGAATTTTTAATTCCTGTTTTTATTTACGTTAAACTCGGTAAGTTAGGCATGAAATCTGTAAATGAAAATATTCAAACAGCGAGTGCAGCGCCGCGGCTTGTGGTTTACACAAACCAATCAGAAACGCACCCTACTGGGTGGGCACACAGTTATGGACTTATGGCGCGTATTTACGGACAAAAATATACATCGACATTCGTTGTTCAAAGCTTCATTATTGGTTCAATGTAGGACCCAGATCGACATTGAACATTCATACGGAAACGTTTAACATTCAAGCGAACATTCAATATTCAAGACAACTCGTCGTTCACGCTAACATTCGTCACTCGAACCGAACTTCTACATGCGTTCCAGACGATGATTATTATCAATTCAACTTTCATGTCGACACTCATCATTCATAAAAGACTGGGACCCAACGGTCCCTTTGGCTTGGGTGAGGGAGTGGCGACCAAGCCATTGATTTTTCAAAGATGGAGGCCGATGCTAGAGAGGTGTTTTCGGCACGAGTGGAATCCCAAGCCTGCTGAATCTTTTCAATAATCATGACAGCATAGACTATTACAGAGGTGATACCTCACAGACTCGTGCAAATACATTGTATCACCACGCTGTCCGTCTGTGCTCATTGGGTACTGTTGCGGAATCTACCGTTGAGAAACTGAAACTCACGGTGGACTTGTTGTTCAGTTCAACAACCTATTACCCTTCTATTTGTTTTCAGTTCGATATAGAACACTGAAGGAAAAGGCTGTCCTAAGTTCCGAATCACCCCCGAGTATGTTCGAAAACAGTTTAAAAGCAGTTCAAATGGCCACCATGCTAGGAGTTTCTGAGAGAACTGAACATGTACGAAGGCGCGCTGGAGAATTTGGCATAGAATCAAGTGGAAGTTTCAGCCATGTTGATGATGCTTCATTGGACGCAACTATAAGCAATTTATTGGTTCAATATCCCAATTCTGGGTACAGAATGATGCTTGTGCACCTAAGAGCTCTTGGACTTGGTTGCAGCAGTTGAGAGTAAGAGCAAGCATGCAACGTGTAGACCCATGTGGTTCCGTGTTGCGATTGTTTCTGGTCACAGAACGAAGGTAGTACGATGTGCCTTGTCCCAATGCTCTGTGGCATATAGGTGGGAATCATAAACTTGTGAGGTATGTAATGTCTCTTAGTAAAATTGGTGTGATCCAATTTGGTTATGCCCTGTAAGATCTAGCATTCTGTCACAGTTGCAGAACTTTCTACTGCTTGTATGTTCAAAGGGAACAACTTCAATCGCTGTAACTTGTTATGCTTGAAGCCGGCTTGCTGTGGATTAAAGGTATTAAAGTGCAAATGGATGTGTAATTTGATAACTTCGTCTCCTTTCACACCGGAAATGATTTTATTTGAGTCGTGTGTTTCCTCCACAAATGGTATCTCACATTAATTTTGACGTCTGCAAGTTTTTATCATACCTGTGTCCTTTCCAGGATGGACCAGATTGGCACACTGAGCGTGATTGTTTTGTTTTGTTTCCATGCAGTATAACTGTTAATTTAGGAACTTTAGGGAATATCAATGATGCTCTTAACTGTCTTAAATAACAGGTGGAAATTGGTAATTCATGGTGGAGTTGATGGTTTTTCAAGAATTCCTGTTTATTTGAGGTGCTCTGGAAACAACCAAGCAAGTACTGTTTTGGAGTTATTCAATGAGGCAGTTGCAGAATATGGATTACCATCAAGAGTTAGAAGTGACAAGGGTGGAGAAAACACTGAAGTATCACTCTTTATGCTTTCCAATCCACAAAGAGGCCCAGGAAGGGGTAGCATGATTACTGGGAAAAGTGTACATAACCAACAGATTGAGAGACTTTGGAGGGATGTCTACTATCAAGTTACATTCTTATATTACAATTTTTTCTATCACATGGAAGGCTGCCATGTTTTAGATCCAGACAATGGTGTGCACATGTTTTGTTTACATGATGTGTTCATCCCTCATATAAACAGAGATTTGGCTGGCTTTGTGGCTGCATGGAACAGGCATGGAGTTACATCAGCTGGAAATCAACACCATTGCAGCTCTGGATTCTGATCTTGTAGTAGCACAAGAAGTATTTGATGAGGTGTTGTTCAGGGTTTGATTTGTTCATTAGACAAGTACATATAAGAATTTCATCCAGGCAACTAAAATTCTGTCAATGTTGTACAGTATACAGCACAACCAATTTATTTGTATTCCATAGGGAATTTACTAATAATTGTTTTTAAAGTAATCAAAAGTACATTTACCACTTTTTTCAGCTTGCCAGAAAAAAAAATCCAATTTGCTTATTCAACTCATCTGTTTTGCAGCAGAGTGAAAACAGAAAAGGAACCACTTCATACAGTAATAACATTTTACTTTTCAAAATTTTTTTTTTTAAGGTGAATTTTTTTGGAATTCTCCTCCAGGGTATTAAACAGGGAGGTTTTGTCCAGCGTTTACTCTTGAATTATTCACCTCATGTATAGCAGTACCTAGCAGGAAGATTATATGTCACCCTCTCCTTCTGTAAAGAAGGGGTTTGTCCTAAAGTGCAGGAGGGGGTAGGTCAGAAAAATGGAATTTCAAGAAGACACATTAAATGTAGCCCACCCCCTACTGTCCTAATTATGACTAGTCCCTAAGAGAGATGGATGTGGCATCTTTATTCAACCATTTTAATCTGGGAGAGTGCAGTGTGGGTTCTCTGGTGCTTTTCATCACACAGGCTCTACTTAGGTTGGCAAGCTTTGCACCCATCTTGAATGACAAGACCAAGGGAGTGTAGTGTATCAATAAAATAAAAGTAGTTATGGATTCTTTTTATCACAGAACTGCTCATATGGAAGTGACTGGGGTGGCCCTTTGCCACGAGAAGAGTGGGATGGGCTTATAGATGGAGTGGATGCTCCCTCCATTCCATGTCCCATACAAGAAATTGACCTGGAGAGACTCAAGATTTTAGTCAGTCTCTTGGATGAAAATGACTGTTATGGTTTAGACAGTTTCTTAAAAGTGTTGTCCTTTGTGAGTGACTACTTACCCTGATCTTTTCCTTATCAGAAGCTTGGCATATATAATAATTTTTAGTGAAGGTATTTTTCCATTGAGATGGTGAGTAAATGTTAGGACAAAGGAAAAGTTTTGCATTGGTGTGCAGTCACACCAAATAATACTTGGTTCTTAGGCGTGTTTTCTTTTTAAACACAACTTTATTTATCGATAATTTTTTTAACAGTTCATGTTGTAATAAGGCAACAATAATATGCACATAAACAATGTCATAGCACTGTACTTCTCTACTGAATATGAACACCGTAGCCTGCAAACAGGAATAAGTTTTTGATAATTTTGGCAGATGAAATATTGTTTAAAGTTTCTACAGGGAGAAATGCTTTCAGCTTTTGAGAAAAAAAGAGAAAAAAATCGAACTGATTAATAATCCACGTTTTTCAAATTCTTATCATTTCGGGCATTTAAATAAAGCTACGCTCTTAATGAACATTAGTATCACAAGGAGTGTTGGCAGATTAAGTAGCACATTGTTTTCTGGGAAAATGTAACAATAAAAATCAATTTCTCAAAATTCCAAACAAAGTAATTAATTTTCTTGTTTTGACAAAATTGGGAAAAAACTAATATTTTTCATGCAGACGTCCTCTTGTTTAAAACTTTTATCAAGTCTATAAATTTAAATTAACATGGTTTCTGATATTCCAAACTTGTCAACCAAACAAATGCAGTGCCTTGAAAGTCAAGTTATAATATTGAAAATCAATAACTGCTCTGAAATGGATGAAACAGTAAGTTATTGTGATTTGCTTATTTCTATCCACCCATGGACATGGCTCATCCTCGGTGTAAAAACCTGTGAGGCTCACGAGTGACGTAAAACAAAGACAACAAAACATAAACAATAGCGTACAGCAAAACAATACCTCGTGAAACAAAGAAAACCTCTCAGGTTTTTACACCGAGGATGACCCAAAACATCGTTTGTTAGAGTTGTCACCCCCCCCCCCCGTTTTTATTTCTTCTTCAACTCCACGGAGTTAAAGTTCTGCTAAACCGAGCTAGAGGGGTGTTGACACTTTGGCAAATGACATTTTAAAGGACAGTAACGAAACGGGATCAAACCCCAACAGTACCCTGCTATATGATCAAGGCAGGCGTATAACAACCCATACAAACCTTTATAAATATAAAACGTTGCGCAACACGGTAAGAGTCACGTCTGCTTTTCTAGTAGTGAGCTTGGGCTGCCTGTGGATAAAGAAGCCAATTTGGCGACTTTTGATCGGTGGTAACAAGGCGAGCTGCAATTTTGTTATTACTCAGTGTTTATGACCAAAAGGGAATCTGAGAGAAAATTTTCCTAAATTATAATGTATCTGACTTCTTTAAGGAAATTTGTCTTTATCTCACAGTTTTTCGAGTATTAAACTTTGAATTGAGGATTCGCCCAAACCACCAAAAACGATTGCTCGCTCGATTTTTTCTGGCCACCTATTTATGATTGTTGGGTTGCCAAATAGTAGCTTTGAAAAGAGGCTTAGTGTAGAGCCCTGAGTTGTATTATTAACTGCATAATTTGGCTAAATGACCAATCATGTTTTATATTTTATTCATCGCAAACTACTCCACAAGCTGAAATACTCCTAAGAGCCCTTAACTAGTGCAAGGAGCATCCTGAACCTTCCAACACTTGTGAAGCGGCATGGGAAATGATTCCACGGCTATTAAACACAAGAAATATTCCACGTGTGAAAAACCGAGGAAATTTGTTGCGTTTGCAGTCTCTCCTCGTCTTGAAACAACGTATATCTCCGTTAACTTTAGTAGTCTCTGATCTGATATGAATTATTTTCCTCTTGCTAAATCGCGACTTCTATAGCTAGTCTTTAATGATTTCCGCCTTATTAATCGCCGCAAAGCATGCAGTTTTGATATGATCTTCAACCACGGTGCTTTGCTCTGAAAACTTTTCGTGACGGTGAATCATTGAGGTAACACTTTTCTCAACTCCAAAAGGAGTTTTACTCGATTTTTGAATTTCGAAAGTTTGATGCGAGAAAAACTTGTGAAAAAGCAACCTGAAGCCCAAAACAAGAATTAGGTCTCATCTTCATTACATTAGCTTCTTTACAGTCAATATACTTTAGCTTATTTCGCCCATTACCTTTTTTCTGGAATTTAGACAAGGTTTACACTAGAGCAAATTGTTCCGGATTCATGATGAATCCGAAACGTTTTAGTACCGGATTGATGTTGCCGTTTACACGAAAGTGGACGAATCCGAAATAAAAACTCCCCGGTTTGGTCGTGTCTCCGGAGATTTTGAATCCGGAATTTAAAGTGTGAACTTTGAATCCGATAACTTTTGAATCCGGAAAGTTTTGTCGTGTAACCGCTTTTTTTCTCGAATCCGGATATTATTTCCGCCTTCAATCTTTTGAGTTTGCGGTGAAACCAAGATGGAGGTCTGGTGCTAACATTGCTGGCGGTCTCCGGTTGCCTAATCTTGTTGCAGGTTCAGGCGATAAATTTTATCATGTGTACCACAGTATTTCTGAGGAAACGCAAATTATTATTGCAAGGAAGTTTAACGTCAGCCACACTTAATCGCCGACGACGTAGATGGCAGGATCGAAGACCGAGACGGTTTTGGGTTAGGCCAGGTCGAACAAGTGCCTGGTGAGACAATATGATGGGAAATGTCACGGTAGCTAGCGAGTGGAGAGAAAATTTTAGAATGTCCCACCCTACCTTTATGGAACTTTGTGAAGGTCTTAGGTCCCTACTTGAGAGAAAATCAGAAAAAAAAACCGGAGTTGTCGTCGTGTGTAAACGGTCAGGAATCCGAACATCCTTTCAGTGTAAACGCCTACGAATCCGAATACTCCAAAATTGATGAATCCGGAAACATTTACGAATCCGGAAAACTCTCCTCCAGTGTAAACCTAGCCTTAGTGTATTTTCATACTCGTTTACGTGGTCTCGTTGAAGCCTCGCCTTACAAGTCCACCCAGAGATGTCGTTTTCTCAATTTGCAGACCTACATGCTATTTAGAGAACACGAAACCGCAACATTGACGCACTCTGTATTCAGTGCAGGTGTTTAATCCCTATTTTTGGTTCATTGGTCTCATTTCTGTTCTGTAATGCCATGATTAGGTATGTCACTGTACTCTGCCAGTCGCCTTCCGCGGTGATCGCCGTCTTTTTCTCTTAAGGAATAACAATGTACCTGCGGAAAAAGTAAAGAATCGGACCACAAAAGTGATAAAGATCTCCAGAGATCAAGAGCAGATCACCGAGGACCGAAATATTTCCAAATCAGTGGTACTGAGAAAAAAAGCTGTCGTAACTCACTGTGAGGTTGTCCTCGCTCTAGATCAATCAGAACTTTGATTCCCAAATGGCATCAGGCAGATTGTCGATTTCAAGGATGTATTTCAAAACCATTGATCGTAGAATGCTCCAGATATTTTCAAGTTTATAGAGTAAAATATTTAACATATTTTGGAAATAAAAGCTGACGGCTGCGCAGATCAGTAATTTAGTCCATTTTATCTCTCTTACTGTCAATTTTCAAGTTTTGCCAGTGCCCTACCCATCGCTTGCAGTTCATTCGGTCTTGACACACAGAGAAAACTTATCAAAGGGTATTTCTTAGGAATGTTCAAAGCTCATTTCTATTATTTTGCAGCGAGGATAAAGAGAGCTTTCATGCATGTCAAAACAAAACAGGTAAAATTAAACAGCGCCAAGAGTTAACGTTCCCGCCGCGAGGTCATAAATTAGCCAATCACATTAACTGTAATATCAATTGGCCAATAAGAGTGCGGATTAGTTTAGCGAGTAGAAAAGGTCAGATACCGAAGGAAGAAATTTGTTTACCAGTTTACTGATCGTTTAATGCCGATGTGAGCGCTGGCTTTGTGGGGAAGCGCAGGTTAGTAAATCATTTTTGTAAGGTTTTCTAATGGTCACATTTTTTTAAACTTTAGGAAAGATAGGTTTGCAGGATTAGTTGAACGAATGTCGATCTCAGCTAAAAAATGTGTGATCATTCGGGTTTGAGATCAATTGCATTTTCCTCTGTGAGTAACAAATTCCCTTATCTTTTGAACTCCAACAGAAAACAACTAGGCAAACAAGTCAATAATAGTACTTGTCCTCCTCAGTACTTAACCTTGATCAATGTTTATTAAAATATGTTTGTTTGGTAAGTAAACATTTCCTCTTTAATATAAATTAAATAAGGATTTCTGCTCTGGGAAATTACACTCTCATTTAATACTTCGTTATTTGGTATAGCAAGAGTTCATTAAGCTTACTCCAGGTAGTTCAAAGATATGAGTCTATTCGGTGAAGCTGGTTTAACTCTTTCCATCAAAATTCAAAACTTTTTTTCAATTTTCTGAGTAGTTTAAATTTGAAAATATTCATGGGTTGTAATGCATTGTGGTGGGGCAATTTGTACTTTTTCATTTGAGATTCCAACGGTGGAGTAATTTACTCTTTCCCACCTATTTTAGAATACCGGGTAATTGAAAATAGAGATACCATTTTTAAACACTAGCTGATCTCACGTTTTACCAGAACATCTACCTACAACAAACGTATGAAACATATGTGTGAACTGCGGTTATGAGACGTATATGAGAACGATCCTTCGCAGTAAAGCACTATTTGAACAAATTCCCTTATCTACCTATTATGCAGCCAACAGTCCCAAAGGGTGGGAGAATACCATAAATTGCATACAATTAAAATAGGTTTAAGTCACGAGCTACTTCCAAGAAATTGAGGGAAGAGTATTTCTTTATTTACAAACATATTTAGTAGTATTTACTATATTTATATATACAACAACTTCTACAGCCACCCCACTCTTCTATCCCACCCTAATATATCATTTTACACCACTGGGAGTAGCTAGTAATATTTGCATGGTTAACTAACTTCAATTCATTAACCCTTTGAGTGGAAATTATTTAAATAAATCTAATAACATAGCTTTTTCTTATGGAACAAAAATTATCAATCTGGTTAAGGCACGAAATAAGTCACGCTTTTAAAAGTAACTGATTAATTGATGATAAGATTAACGGGGAACCCCACTATTTCAAACTCAGTTGACTCAACCTCTTGGTAACTCGAACAAGATCTGATTTCCCTTGACCCATTTTTCCAAGCATTAACTATCAGCTGACTCAATCCATTTCTTGTTTCCCTTTGGAGATCAAGTTAGAAAAGTTCTACTATACTTTAATATTGAGAGACTGAAGTGCACCAGCAGAAATTTTATTTGTTTGGCAGTAGTAGAAATTCTTTTTTCTTGTGCAACATAATGCTTCTTATTAAACTTATCTTAAGAGCATATGGAACATCAATTTTAGTAAAAAATAAATGTAGTCATCTAATAACTATTTGTTTTTGTTCAAAATAAAATGAAGAACACTCATAATTTTTCAGAGGAGATCTCTGATGCTAATCTTTATCCATTGGATATGAACAAAAGCAATTCACTTGAATTGTTTATTCTCATTGCATAATGTGGGATATTGCTGGTATATGTTTTGTGTTACGTTATTGTAAACTCAGAATGTATTGTTCTTCCAATCTCAGCGAACATGATGGGATATTTTGGATATTATAATTGATTGAAATATTTACCTTATCACTTAAACAAATTGTCTTTTTTTTTATTCTGACAAAAGGATGATTTTCTCATCAAACTTTGAAGAACCCTTAAGGAATTGTAGCACTAAATTTATTCAATACATATAGTTAACCACCCTACTGCTCAGAATTTGTTGGACATCATTTTTCAACTGTTTAGGAATTATTGCTTTTGGCTGGTGTGTATTGACAGTCTACCAGTGTCTTTTTCCCACGAAAATAAATAAGTTGAATCCTGATGTTCAGCAATTTAAAAATAGGTCACTATTTGTCCCCATTTATCTAAGTTAAATTTAATATACTATTTTAACCATTGTTATGTTTAACATGGTTACAAAAGCACACCATATGTTCAGTCCTTGTTATCAATTAAGCACTTTCCTGTATATAACAAGAGATTTGCCTGTGTGAAAACTTTCAGGTACACAAATGTAGGGATTTGGTTGATGGAAATAGCATCTTTGTATACAGCTTAAATTTCTTTTACTTCCTTTAGTACCAAATGTTCTCGAGTTTACTCCTCAGGGATACTGCACCCATACCTCTCTCTACTGTTATAACTATTGATCAGAATCCCTGTTAAAAGACCCTCCAGGTGTCTACTGTCAGTCAACCTTTTGTATAAGAGTTTTGGGTACCTTACTTCTTGCTGAACTGAACAATGAGCTCCAAATCCAGATCTTAATGTGATCTAAACTGATTAACACTCTCTTAGCTCTCCATGTTAACTTTCAAAAGTGAGCCACAATTTCAGATAACATCTGAGAGTAATTCTGCTCAACATTCAAGGAAGGTAGTGTTACAGACTTGTCACCATCATGGACTGACACACAAGAGAGTGATGTGTTTGCTCCTGGTGTCTGCTTGTTGTTTTCAAGGGAAAGCTGAGGAAACAACTTTTCTGCCAGGCTGGTCATCATGCATGGGTCCTCTTCCAATTTTGGAAGTTGGCATGGTGTTAAATCAGATTGTACTCTTCTAGGTCTGCAAGACAAAAAAATTGAAAATTTACATTTCTAAACTTAACCATTTACAAATAAAATGTATCAGTCAAATGTACTTACAAAATAATGACTTATTAAAATTAAATTCACATTTAAGTTGGTTTATGAAAATTGAACAATCACTTTGTCCTGAAGTTCATATTAAACTGCAAACCGTTCTGGAGTAACCCTGAGATTGTATATAATTATGTAAATGCACAAAACTTTTCAATTGTTTTTAAGTAGACAGTGCCAAAACAATATGCATATGTTTACAGATTTTAATGTATCATGTACATGTGGGTGTGTAATTTACCATTGCTTAATCATGGTTTAAACAGAGAATTCTGCTAGGGGTGATGCATTCACTGTGCTTTTTTCTCATGAGCCAGCTAGGAAAGTTTAGTTCTTGGATACTAAATTTAGCATAAAAAACATTAAACGTGGGTTATACTGTAAAGGTTCATGCATCAACATCAATCGAGATTCTTCCTTGTGTTATGGGATTTAAAATGCTGTTAAAATTATTCAGGATTGTTTTTCAGGTATGTCTCTCATTTTTCATAGAGGTGGCACTTCACATAGTCAGCATCATGTCTTCATCATGATTATGGACATCTAGGAAGGTCAGTTTCATAGTTTGAATGAAACCTTACAAAAACACAATCAGTTGTTACATATGTTAATTTTGATTGTGAGCATCTTTGTTAATGATATTGATCTAAAGTCGACTATTGCTGTTTTGAGTATTGTAGTGAGGTGTCTTGGTTAATCATTGAGTGCTTGCTTCCTGTCCTTTTCATGCCATTTTAGGGCAAGGAGTGCCGGAAAAATTTGCTTATATTTTCAATATCTTCTCATGAATAAACTTTTTCTCTGGTGCAATATCGATCCAACAGTGATCTCATTCTTACACACACGTGCATAACAAACACAGTCTCCAAATTGGAAGTGGGATAAAAAACCTTAACAAGTAACTCCTAACAGGATAGTCAATGATATGATTCAACCAATAGAAAAAAGTTGCAAAGAGACTGTGTTTGCATGGTAACCTACAGATCTCATCTGTTGTAAAAATTGACAAATTATTGAGCACACAAAAGCTTTGTTGTTTATGCATGATTGATGATATGGTGAGCAATTTCATGACTTGACAATATAAAAGTGGCTGAGTATTGGAAAGCAAGGTCACTTGCAAAGTTTTAAATACTACCAACAGTATAGACATAATGGTTATGAAACTAAAAGATGAGAAGCTTTGAAAGGCCTAAGAATTTGATACATCTGTATAGTTAATGTATTCATGAGTTGGAGAGGTACTTAACATTTTTTGCCACAAAGTGTGTATTTGCCTGTAAAACAAATTTTCCATTACTTGGCCATGATTACAGAATATATCTAACCTTAGATGAAAAATCAAAGGAAACAAAAAAGATTCATAGTGGTCAGTTATTAAAAGGATTTCACAACCTCAAATTCCTACCAACACCAATTCATTGCCTACATTTGTCAAGTTTTAGACTGATATTATTCAAAATTCTGGCTAAAACCAATTTACTGGTAGGTACTTAATTTGCAACCAATATGTATCACAAAAGAACACAAACAGGAGGACTGCGGTGAGCTGAAGGTGCTGAATCACTTTTCCCCAGGCAAAATTTACACCCCACAGGGTGATAAACAGATTCACTAATATTGCAGATCCCTTTAACTTAAATTTTTCCACACAAAGCTTTAGTTACACATAGATCTAAACCATGAGCAAAGGGAAAAATGTATTTTGGTGAGGAATCTATAGCAGAGGAAGTGTGAAGAATTATATTTTATAATTGAGGAAAAAGGGGTTGAAAGAACTTGCAATCTAAGATAACTTTAGTTTTAGGGTTACCAACAAAGGAACAAATTTTCCATGTTGAAGGGAAGTATTCATGTGACAGATGACTTAAACTGCAGTGCAGGACTTGACAAATTTTATGAGAGTTGCATTTATTTAAAACAAACAGAAGAAAAGCGCATTCAGATACTAGTTGAATGTGTTCTCTCATAAGCTAGATATCTGATTAGTTATTTTGATCAGTTGCAAGACTTGTTTGAGATAGGTATATCTAAAAGATAGTTTCTGAAATAACATGGCACTCATAGGTCACATAAACTTTAAAAGCCTGCAGACCAACAGGTTACATTATAATAAAATGCTTTAAACACTGACCTTCCTCTTCTGATCACAAATTTCTTAGTCTTGTCCTCCTCTACTGTCTCAAATAGTTTTAACAGCTGCTCTTGTGGAGAAGTTATTACAAGTTTTGGTTCCTTTGGAGGTCTTGGCAAACACTTCTCCTCTGGAGGAGTCACTGGTCTTACTTTACTAACATCATAACTTGTATTGTTGGCATTGTGAAATAATGGTGGTAATGATGATAGTGTTCCTTCTGTGCTCATTGAGCTGTTCTGAATGTTCTTTGGTTCTTGCCAGAATGACTGAGGTAATGCTCTCATTCTCATTGGCAAAGGACCTGCCATATATAAAAGCAAACCATGAGTTAACCTACACTCACAGAATGACTGAGGTAATGCACTCATTCTCATTGGCAAAGGATCTGCCATATATAAAAGCAAACCATGAGTTAACCTACACTCACAGAATCAGTCCTACAAAATCTATGCAGTTTTAGCCAACAGTAAATCCTAGAAGGTAATTTTGGTGTTTTTTTAGAAGAAGAAGAAGAAGTGCTAACACTCAAAACACTAGCTTTAGAAACTGTTTATGATGGCTAATTTACATTATCAACTCAATTGATAAACCAAATCACCTGGTTATACCCCCCTCTGATGCAGCAACACTGTTTCTTTAGAAACTTATCTCCTTTATTCATTTGCAGTTTATCCTATTGTTGGTTGTCTTTATGAGGACTTAGTCAGAAGTTAAAGAATTGTTTTCATTTTGTGGAATAGTGCTTATCATTGATGACATGCTCATTTGGTGCTTTCTCAAAGTAAATTAAAAGTACACCCTTGCATTGAAGCCAGACATACATCAACTTTGGTAACTTCCTCTGAATTATGACACAAAGGCTTCTTCAAAACACTTAAATTTGGTGTGATATTGAAGAACTGACCACTGTTCTATTTTAAAGTATACTTCAATTTAAAATAAGAGGTCAGCCATACTTTTAATCGGAGCTGGACAGCCTAACAATTCTACCATATCTACGAATGATGGATTGCTATTAAACAAAACCTATATACTCTACACTTTTTCATGTCATCTGCAAAACAGGGACAAAGCAGAACATGTCAAACTCTTCACCAGCTGTTATATTTTTGCACCTTCCCTGTAGACATTTAATATCACCATGTACACCCATATAACTAGCATTGCAACATATCCAGCCAGACTGTCTGGCTATCCTCGTCTCCTTTTAACCAAGGCTTCTGTTACTAAAAAGCCTGTTATTGATATAAGGTATGTTACTTTTCTCACACTTTGATCAATAATTTGATGATTTGAAAACTAGTTTTCTACTTGCCATGTTGTTTGAATTGAATCCCTAGATGTATGCAGGCTAATACTATTCAGTTATTACTCCATAAAGGCAACTGAAAAATATTTTGTTCGCAATTAAACTTTAGCAATTGGATTTGAACCATGTAGATCGTGATTATCTTTAGATAAGGTCCCTTGATTAACCATTAAGATATTTAATATTCAATCTTAGCTTCAATCATCTTTAACGATTTACAACAGTGATAAGCGGCACTTTTTTTTTTTTTCAAGCAAATATCAGGAAAAAGGCACTTGAATGAAACGTGGTTGGCTTTTCCAGGAGACGTGATTTCCATTTTAAGTTAATATCATAATAACATGAACTCTTTCCAATTACGTTATATAGTAGCTGGATCTGTTTCTCCTGGTAACCAATTATTTCATTACCTAGGCAGCTCTTAGGTCAGATTGTGCACAGTTAAAAGATTGTGGTTAAATGATACTAAAGGTGGGTTTTATATTATTAGAACAATAGCATTCCAAGTTTGGCAAAATCTTAAAGAACAACAAAATAAGAAGCTGCAAACGTTTGGATTAATTCCATAATTTTGGATTGATGTCACAAGGTCTTAAAATATTGCCCTAAGTTTGAAGTTTTGCAGCTCATTCTAGATTGAGGTCTGTCTTTGAAAATTTTTGGTTAGCAGAGTATTGTGTGATGAAGGAGTATGTTGATTTTACAGCAGGGAAATGATGATTCATTAATATTAAATGCTGGTGCTTTATTGTTGGAATCATTTATCAGTTGTTTTAATTGAGATATAAATGTGAGGTTTGCTCTGCAGTATTCACTAGAGGTGTTGTTGATTGTTCAACCATGCACCACAGCATGCGTACCAGTTGTATAGACACTCGGATAAAAGTGACCTTTTGCCGTCTACCACAAATCGCATTTTCATGCTTAAAAACCTCGGTTGGTCGGCACCGGAAAGGTGAAAGAAAATAAGTAATATCTTAGTAGAATATGTTTTTTTGTTGTTCATTTTGAATACAAAGTTATTTACATTAAGTCTAACCAAGACGGGGTGACATTTTCAAAAAAGCTGAAAACCTGACTTGAAAATGGAACCGCACGATTCTCTCTCTACTTTACCTTTCTACCGGAGACATGGTACATAAAAATAAGAACAACTAAACCAGTTTAGCAGATAAGTGATAAGTCTGTGCCCTTTGGCAATATTACGTACTAAAATTTACATACCGCACTCATTTCGCTAATTTTTGATTCGATGCGCATTTCTTTCAAGCTCGATATCACGACTTAAATGGAGAAGTTCAGGTAGACCTAGTCTCAAGATGATATCTACCCGAATTCATTTATCCAAAACGTTAAGTGGTTGTGGACACTAAGTGATGATACCGACTCTATACACTTGTTTCATTGCACATTAATTCCCTGTGTGTAATCTTAGTGAGCCGCTTGCCTTTTGAGTTACTTCAGAATGATTCATCAACGAAAATGCTCAAAACAACCATTTCGCAGTCTGTTCCAATCCAGGTCAGATTGTCTCTAACAGAAGGCGACTTGTTTTGGTCATGATGTTTGCGATTTGCATGACAAAATGATTGCCGTTCGGTCACGGGATATTTTATTTTAAAGGCTCTTTGACATGGTTGAAACCGATTTTGCATGTTCAAGGGCGAATTCTCGAAAAGAAAGAGCAAAAGGCATGCACGTGTATTGGTTTTAGTTGAGACGGTCCTCGAAAGAACTTTTCAATAGCATGAAGGCATTATTTTCTTTTAGTAACTCAAAACATGACCCTTCGGTTTTGTCCGTCTGAGGATTTTGGAATCACTGGAGCTTGAAGAGCGGTTCTCTCTAAGAAACACGAAGGACAGACACCGCGAATCACTTAGCTTAACATAACCATACCGCAAAAAAGATTTTTTTTTTTCAAGAGTCGCTTGAGCGGTAGATTAGTGTATCTGTAGCAAACTCATCGAAATTTTTCTTAACGTCAATTGAACTGGACCTCGACCCTCTGTGCAAGTGAAATGTTTATATAAAACAAAGAGCCACAAGTAAATACGGCCACAATATATAAAGCGATTTTCGAGAAAAATATGTTTGTTAGGTAAACGTTGAACGAAACAGAAGGGGGATTTTGATCGCATACTTGTGTTTGAAAACACGATCAACAGTGAGACGGGTGCAAAGGTACAAATAGACTCGTTCTTGTTTAAGAGAAGTTACTTATTCCCTCATTAAAAACAATTCCCAGAGCGGCAGCACGCAATGAAACAAGTCACGTATGCCTGGGCTGCTTTGATTGATAATCGTGACAGAAGCCAACATCTTATATCGTACATGTAGTCTTGATACAGATCCACTAACAAACTAGCTTAAGTTCACTTCAAAGTAAATGAGACTGGATGAAATCGCCGCGCCGAAGGGCGCTCTGATACCGTGATGGTACAGTGAGCATGATCAAATTGGTTTAAAGCTCTGTTGGAGTAAATTCATCACACCCCAACCACAAAATATCAGTCGTCACTCTGTTATGGGAAATCTGAATGACTATTTAAATGAAATCGCGGTCGAAACACCACAATGACTTAAGTTGGATCGTACTGGGTTTTTTTTAAAACGAACGCAATCGATCGGTGGCACAATTTCAGTAGGAAACGTATCACTTAATAACACAAACTCACCTCGCTTAGGTTTCAGTCGAGCTTCAAGTTTGTTAAAGTCTGGAGACGTCTCCCTTCGTTTCAAAGCGAGGTTCCCTGCTTGGGAGAGCAAAAGTCTTTGTTTTCGGCCTCTTTTAGATAATTCCTTAGCCGGGGTTTCGCGGATTGGTAATAGCGCGGGAGCGCCAACCCTATTTAGCGAAAGACTCTTGCCTCTCACTACCAGTGGAGGAGGCGATTGAGGCGAGGAAGGTCCGCATGGACTTGGCGGAGAAATACTTGGAGGAGTCCTCCAGTTCAAGGTATCCTTGTGCTGAAGTCTTTTTCGTTGAGGATCCATACTACAAGGAACTGCCAAGTCACTTTGGTACAATAATTACTCCTGCTTGCACCTTCCGGTCAGAATACTGCAGTCAAATAAGTGGCGGTGTTAGGTTTCGAACAGTTTAACATAGATTATCTTGCCTTGTTGCAAAATACCTCTCCTTTGAAAAACCTAGTTGATGACAGTTTATTCCCATTTCAAGCTAATACTGGAAAACTCGACTGTACGTCAAGAGTGATTCACGCTCGAATCGAACAAGTGATCACTCGGTGATGGTAACCATGTGTTTTCGCGCGTTACTAATAAACTGTGGGGTTGTGAGCGTTATGTGATTGGTGTATATTTACGTCACCAATTCCTCCTTCCATTGGCTCAATTCACGTGTTGCGGGCTTTTGTTCCAATTGTTGTCTATTGTTGTCAGGGATTCGGCTGGAAGTTTCCGACACATTCCGCAAAGAATTTGCATACTGTTCGGTTTAGTTCATTTCTAAGAATGGAACATTCGTCAACCCTTCTTCCGTTAATTATGTCAGTGAAAAACAAAAAACATGGGATTTGTGCATACAGAATTGATCAAACAAATTCTCAGAGAAAAGTAAGAGCGTTAAGTAATCGCTATGTTAAGTACCTCAATATTAGACTCGTCTAGGTAAGATAATACATACATGTAGATCCATCGAACGCCGTTTGTGCATGTATATGTTATGTGACAAAGAGAACAAAAAAACCGAGAAATACTGATGACCGCGATTTCCGAAGTAATCATTTAGACATAGGTACAACAAGTACCCGAAATGATACAATTTTTCTGGCTGTGAGTGTTCGCGAAAATTTGGATTAGTTTCTTACTTATCGAAATATCGCAGTCAAAACATACTCGAAGATACCAATTACGGTAAAACTGAAGGAATCGTTACCGCGCCCGTCCCTGGCTGCCTAGAGACCCAGATAAACAAATTGAGACGTGTGCGCGGGATCCGGAACTGAAGGCAATATTTATCATAAGTGCGATGCTATATAAGATCCAGGTCAGCCTAACGTTTTCATCCTTAACGGGACACGTATTCATAAAAGGAAAACTGATTTGTATGTTAGTATTCCGGCTATGCGCGGAAGGTAACTCCATTGAAAAATACTACACAAACAATATTTTTGTGGGAAGGTCCAGTTGTTTTGAACGTGAAATTTGAAATGGCGTTCATGTGACATTGTGACATAACAGTGAAATGGAAAGTGATAACCCCATTCAAGGGAGCTGCCTAACCTGCTGTGAAAGCAAATCGCCCAAAATAGCCTCGGGAGACATAGTGTTCATGCCTAAACTGATTTTTTTATTATTTTTTACCGGGGGAGGTGGCGAAGTTTCTTTTAGATAGAGCCGATTATGTTCGTCTCAGATTTTTCGGCCGTATTTCGTCAGTTATCGCGACATCTATAATTTCTCGCTTCTCCACATCTTCTATGTTTTATTTTTTTTCTGATGAATTTTTGTGTTTTGCCATTAGCTGACAATGAGGAAGGGAAAGAGAAGAGATCCCACTAAGTCCTTTGAAAATTTCAGGTACTAAGCTTTGTGGAAAGATCTGCCGTTGTTCATTAGTTAGCATTACAAGAGCAACGCCTACCTTGCTGCTTTAAAACTGAAATCGAGCATGAACGGTTCTAAGCTCAGTTTGTAGAAATTTTAGTCTTCAAAGTTTATACGTCAAGAGTTTTGTTTCTTTTCGTTGATGTTTTTTGTGATTGATCGCAAGCTGACGCGTTCGAACCCCAAAAGTTTCAACCTGTGTCCCCCCCCCATCTCTTCTCCCATAGGACAGAATCCAAAGGCAGGGCGGAAAGAGACGAAATCATTGACGCAACGTCTGTTCGGTCAGTATCCCGTCAGATCCGGTCGATCTCGAGACAGCAGTGGATTGAAATAACCAGGAATCACGCTAATCATTGAGAAGCAGACACCAAAACAAGTAAATGCGATAAGTTGTGATAAGTAGCCATATGTTAGGGAGAGAGACAGCGCGTGCTCGCTCGCATGACTGCTAACACTTGAGATCAGCCTGATGATTGATCGTTTCTTTTTGTTCTCTCTGTGTTTGATTTTCCCTAATGGCCTCTAAAGTTTTACAGTTAATGAAAATGTTTTGAAGGAACTGCTATGAGAACGACAATCCCGGAAGGCTGTTCAGTGGATACCTAAAACCTTTTTTCCCTTATTTACTACCACTGGTCTCTGATTGTACATTCAGGTCTCTTGGCCAGAAACAATCAAATGCCTTTATTGGAACTAAATGATTTTCATACACCTGTAACAGCCTTTATCCGATACTGTTTTAGAATACCTTATCGAAGTATTCCGATTTTCGCAATCCTAATATCGCCGTAGACAAAACAGATTGGAAAGAAACATGTTTCCTTCCGACTCTCACGCAACTTAATCCTTTTCATTGTTTCTATTGCTTAGAATTATGTAATACAACACGGAAAAACCCCGAAACTATTGTTTTCGAGTTGCTATTGCGTTGTTTTTTGGTTCGTATGGTTTCATTCGTGTCCTTATGGCGCTTGCTCTTCCGTTTTAGGAGACAAAATGACGCACGCTCTGTGGAAATGGCCATCTGCTGTCACCATGTTTTCCTCGTTTAATTTCCCCTCAAATAATTGCTTTTTGGGTTGTATAGTCGTGATGTAAATAATGTTTAGACATGTTGGACGTACTTTTTTGCGGCAAGGTTTATCAAAGTTAAGCTTCTCGATGGCACGCGACACCGTGTAGTCGATAGTTTCTTTCGCTTATTTTTGATCTTGTTTTTAAATATCACTAAGCGGTGAAGCATTTGTATCTATGAAACTTTATCAAAGAGTTGGAAAAAATTCGAAATATGAGACTCCCTTTGTCAGAGAAGTAGACTTAGGTTGCTCTGCTGACAGGTGTAACAGAAATTCCTCGTTAAACACATAACTCAACCTTTTCATACTTTTACGATCATTCCTGAAGAAAGTTCATTCCTTTAAACCCGCCGGCGTTGTTCATCATTTTGCTCTTTGTTTGGTTTTTCTTAATTTTTACTCTTGTTCTTCTATTTTTGTCCAGCGTTATTTATCGTGGTTTTGCCTTGTTGTTTTAATAAGCATCAAATGTTAAAAAATAGACATCTTTAGCCATCGAAAACCCAGGATTCGGAACTTTATTACCTGACTTCGATTAAGGCCGATTTCATAAGGTTTAAAAGCTCTTTAACAGCATGCGTGCAGACAGCTTTATAATCTTATCCCAGTCTGCACGCATGTTCTGTTTGTTTCCTTGCATAATAATAGTGTCCATTACGGGTGCGTTCCCGAGCCCTTAAGGTCAAGTTTTCTATTCGTTTGTGAATCATTTCTACGTGTCATCTTATTAATATTTAACAATCTCCATTAGTTTGTAAATCACTAAGGTATCTTTATAATTTTTGAGTATGTAACAAAACCATCACTGACCAAGTTTCTCATTGTTGTCATGATAAGGTGAGCTGAAATTGCTAAAGATCGTTGTTCAAACTGACGTCAACGAGTTCTCCGATAATGCAGGAAAGGGAAATCATATTTTAAACCCTTCTCATTCCTTCAACGAGGAACAAATACATCATTCACCTTTAAAACGTATTTGACACCTAATTTAAGCTGCAAAATGCGCGATGAAGATGTTTGCACTCAGTGGTTTCGTCATAAGATTTTCCCTCACAAATATTTGTGGACTGAAAGGTATCCGTAGTCTGTGAAATGCTATACTCTGCATGGCTTGAGCGTGCCCAGATAAGAAGTGCTTTATTAAGTCCACAGATGAATGACAGATTATTAAATTCCAAGGGTTTATAGTCGGCTTTGCTGGAGGTCGTAGAACGGGCCCGGGGCGGTCAAGTTGAACATTGTTTGCCAAAATCGAGAAACGGGATCAACAGATCATACTTGTGTGACAGAGAGCTATGCCTACCTCTTGCTCAAGTTGTATCTGTAAAGCTAAGGTTTCTTGTATGAGGTGGCCAGCTAAAACAGTCAATATTATTCTAACAAAGAATAGACCACACGGCAAACCTTAAAGCATAACTTCCTGGGATTAAAATTTCCTTTTATTTATTCCACAAGGTGCGTAATTGCTACTGACAGTTATTGCTTAATAAGCATTAAAGAACAGGAATCTAAATATGGTGTTTTCTTGCTCGTGAAGCTTCCAATAGACACTTATATGACGTATCAATCTTTTTCCCTTGTTGTTCTTAGTGTACATTTAGAAGCTTTTAAAATCCAACTGACACTTTGATTTGCTTCAAAGTTGAGTTGCTTCAGGTCATCGGATTTTGAACTCTTAGTAAAACTTTATTCGAATACTGTTAAATGAGCAACTCCCTCATCATCGAAGGATATGTAAAACGTTTCGTTTTATACATCTTTTGTTCGTCAGTTAGGGACTGTGCATTTACAAACTGAGTAAAGGGCATATAACAAGAACTGCTTCAATTCAGAGTAACTTTTGTGTTAAAATGTTAGGCAAGCTACCTGCTAATATATGGTTTTATTTCAGTTGCATTTAAAAGAAAAAAGACAGAAATATGCATGTCGGGCCGACCTGCATATTTCGATCTTTTTGCTCGGGATGCTGTGTAATTTGGATGTTTTACTTATTCACACCTTCTATGTAAGGTGTGTGAATTATATCACAGGCAGCCCAAGCTCTCTTTGAGAACCACACAAGGAACACAATTTACATATCGTTAATTTGCATTTGGTTAAGAGAAAACCAGGATTAAAAAAAACCGCTTAAATCAAGTGAAATCGGTAAAATAATGACACGAGGAGCAAGCAACACACGTATAGAATAAGGTAAGCCATTTTTATTTAATATTTTCACTTTTAACTATCTCGATGGATATCTTGTAGAAAATCCCATACAAATCCTTATAAATCGATATGCAAATTGTGTTCCTTGTGTGGTTCTCAAAGAGAGCTTGGGCCGCCTGTGGTTATATTTAAGACTGGTGCAAAGATTTCTTGAACTGAACTTCATAAAGGGAACGATAAAACCTAACTAAAAGTGACCGGAAATTACTGAAAAATGCGCAAAGTTAATAATTTTAGGAGGTGGATCATAATTTACGATATGTTTCAAACAGGTTGACAAGTTTTTTTGTATGTTTATGGAAAACTAAAGAACCCCAGTTCTGAAGTGTGAAGTAATTTGCTAGTGATCCTTTATTTCCACAACAGTTACCCTTTATTTGATGTGACCCACGACCTCTCTCCACCTCTTAGTTTGAGAAAAGACAGCAAATTGTGCCCCATGTACCATCATCATGAACCCAAACGTTTTTACATTAGTCCGCTCGTCAAATAAATCCCTTTCCCTCTATTTAAGTCCCAAAGAGTTGAAGCAAGATGACTTTCTCTCAGCGGGGGCACTAATTGGACGTATCTGTGTCTTTGTTTGGATGGTTTGTGCTGACCCTGTTTTCATCCATGAAGGCTTTGGCAGTTCTTTCGTTCAAAAACTGAAAAGGGAGGTACTTTTAAAAACAGTCATTAAACCTTCTGCCGTCAGATTAAAAGTTGTCTTATTTCCGCTTCTCTTATTGATCGTCATCCTGATTTCGCCCTATTAAAATTTCGAGATTGTATTACTGTCTGCGTGCCAAAATCCAGTGATTATTACGCCACAGCTTTGCATAAATATACCTAGTTTACTTTTACCAAAGCAATAAATGGGAGTTGGGGGCGGTATCTTATTTGTTTTTCTCTAGAGGTCAAGGGCAACTGCCTTTCGCTTTCGTGTCGGAAAAAAAGAACAACCGATCGGTCGTACACTTTGTTTGTCAGCAAGTTACGAACCTGCGGCCTCTGAGATCAATTTTCCATGTTTCTATGATCTTTTTGGCATAGAGGTGAGACATTTTAACTACTCTCCGAATGCGAAGCAAGAAAACTAAATAAACCCGCTTACACTTAGACCAATTCGCTAGGATTTCCGGTAGTCTCTAGGATGTAGAATCGATCTTGTGGTCTCCCGTGCAGTGCACTAAATCTCCCATTCAAAAGTAAATTTCAATTTATTATTTTTTTTATGAAAGAGGTGAAATAAGCAAAGGTTATTACTGTTGAAAAAGATTATGT